TTTCTTGAGTCAACCCTTTCCCGAGTAGATTTATAAATAGAACGGCTTGTTTCCCGCGAAAGGTGTCATATTTCCGTGACTCTCGTATGTCACCGTGAAAAAATGAAGTTGGATGAAGTCGAACTCATAAGCCCGTCCTTCGACCGTTTTCCTTTTTTACTATACGTCCATTTTTACAATTTTACATCTGCTGGGATCTGGGTATCATGAAATAAAAGTTAATGAATTACCCGACTGAGACTGAGCATGAAGCGATGGGACAAAGGCAGCGAACTGAGGGTCACGGAAAGGTTATCTTTGCGAGTGTTTTTTTTTTTGCCGCTTTACATCCCACATTTAAGCATGCACCTTAAAAAGAGTCGATGATTAAGCGTTCTGTGGAAGATTTGGAACTTTTCGATGATCAGCGCCGAAAAAGTGCCAGGATCATTTGATTTTTGTCATCACCGTGGAGTGGATTTCGCCAGTTAAGCACCGCATGCAAAAGCGATGACCTAAGTACCAACTAACGAGGGATGTTTCAGTTCCGAAATTTAAGAAATTGCAGTCTTCCTTTACAACTGACTTGTATCACCATGAGAGTTGCCTGATAAAACTGGCACTTGAAAAGGTGAACAGAAGACAACAGTTGCTCGACCGTGATTAATTTGCTAACGGAGGAATTTGTGACATCACGCTCCAGTCCAAAGACCCACTTATCTCAAGAAAAACAAAATGGATTGTAGCTGCGCCAAAAGAATTATGACTGACTAACAGGACAATTCTCAGCAGTTAATGCAGAAGTTTAGGCTTAATTCTTTCCTCCGAATTCGCATCTGTGGATCACTTTTTTGCGAGACAACAATGGCTGGGCCCGGCGTTACAAAACATAGCAGGGAATCATCACACTAGCTGACGGACAAAACAACCACAAGGGCTACAAGTATTTTTTTAGATAAACGCATTTCGAAAAAAAAAGGCTTGAAAAACTAGAAATTTGATTAACATTGAGTTATTTCAGTCATTTAGCCGAAATAAGAACCTTAACGCTCAAAAAAATTGACTAAAGAAAACGAATCCTGTTAGAACTACAGATTGCAGGTAGTAGTTAATCATTATATGTAACAGACCATCTTCATGGCCTCTAACTGTGAGACAAGGCAACCGAAATGAAGATTAACATTGTCAGAGTGTAAAACTCTCCACAGTATAATCTACCCACTAGAAAGAAAAGAAAGAAAATCTCTGAGAGATGAAAACGCTAAAGTCACGTTTCACTAGCTTATGATTGTGTTTGGCCTGTCAACACCGAATTTCCTGCTGTTCGATGAAGTACAATAGCAGTGTCATTTCGTTGCTGTGATTGGTTCTTCCCACCGTCGGCGCGCGAAGTCTCCCCTGGGAACCGTTCTAATTATAAATCTACTCGGGAAAGGGTTGACTCCATGGGCATGTATGGGAGATGGAGGCTCCATTTGATGGGCTCCTGCCGAAAGGCGATTTTTAACTGGGCTGCAAAGGGGCTATTTTTTCTGAAGGGAGGGGGCGGTTATACACACTCAGGCTACCATAAAACCTTGTCGGCAACCGTTGCATGCAACAGAACCTCATGTGAGACTGAAACAAACTCATTCAGAACATTGTACCCTTTTGAAAGACTTTCCTAACCAAAAAAAAGAGTACCATTTTTAAGTGGGGGCTGTATAATAACTTTTAAATTCCACCATTAGGAATAAAAATAAACAAGTTAGCCATTAATTCTAAGCAGGAAACAATTTGCCTTATTTCCACGTACCCCTCCACCAATCCCTCTGTGCCCCAAAATATAGCGTGACAGTATAACGTGACTAATTTGACGTAACTGGAAATTCCAAAAATGGTCGTCGTAAAAAAAATAATAATAAAATGCATAAAATGCGACAGACTGAGCTGATTTACACTAGACAGAAATATTGTATTGTATGAAAACCAGAAGTATACTAAAACAGACAGTTAACTGCACATTGATCCCGCCTGATCCAGGGGCCTCACTGACTGCACGGAGACTTTACTGCGCTTTTCACAAACATGCGAACTCTAAAGTTCAAAAGCCACCTTCACAATTGTGTTTATCGCTGCTGTCAATCATAATTACGATCACAAGCAACGAACCTTGAAACAGAGAAACACACAAAACGGATCGAAATCCACAACTCCGTGAAGTAAAGTTTTGTTTCCTAAGAGGTCCGTTAAGATGATTGACAGCAGCGAAAAACGCAATCGTCGGTTGGGTTCTGAACTTCAGAATTCGCATGTTTGTGAAAAGTGCGATCCTAATTTGCGGTCCACAGTCTACATGAAAACGCACTTTTTTTCCACAAGATGAAAAATATTCAGTTTTAAGATTTTCCTCTTGGTATTTTTCTCTAACTTAAAGGAATAAAATCCTTTACATTTTGAGACCTAAAAAAGTTTAAAGATTTCTCGCTCGCATGTTGCGTTCACCAGCACACACTTCAAACAATGTAAATAGATGAAACGATCGATAACATATTTTTTACCTGATACCGATGTGAGTTAAAAATTCGCTCCAGTTCTGTTTGTCTCACCCAAGACTAACTTTTCTCAATGGAAGATAACTATGCCGCTTTATAACTCGTCCGAAGTTTTTGTGCCAGCTAAAAAATATGGAAACACTATTCACAGTGACTCCTTGGATATTAGGAAGACTGAACGTGACGCACTATTATGCCTTTGTTTACTTCTGATAACATCTTCAAGCGAAGTCTCTCTTTTCAAGCGATTCATCTCAATGCACAATAATTGACCCTTATATTAGTTAAAATCCTATGTTTCATTTATATTAATGCTGTTTTTGCCTCTCACATTGACTGTGTTCGTTCGTATTCAAAACGCCTTTACGAAAATAAAGGCCGTATAAGTCATGTGTGTTATGTCTCGAGATAAATGGATTATACGCTTTTTTAAGTTTCCATTTTGCGGTGACTTCAGTTTACATCTGCATAAAATGGTAAAAGAAATATCAAGAAACATCACGAGAGCTGAAAATTTTCAAAGGTATTTTTCTGAAACTCGCTAATGCTGACATCAATATAGCGTGCTTGCTGAATGGGCGAAAACACAGAATTGTGATCACAAGATCTTGTACAAATTTAATGATAAAAGCTTAGCAAGATACAGATACAAACAAAAGCAAACCCCCTGAAACCTCGACGTGGGCTACACTTGTATGCTCTACTCAGTCACCAAACCTTGTTAGTAATAGCTCCTATTTTCCCGGAGAAGCTTTAAACTTGTGTGCGAAATTCTCAGAGTTCCTATTTTTGTCCGTGTCTTCTTTATCCTCAGTATCCGAAATTTAGACCTCCAAAGTGGCGTGTGTTGCATTAAATAGAACGAAATATTTAAAGGAAAAGCCAGTCTTCTAACATGGCAAAGTTGTCAGGTCCCTCGCTTGTGGACGTGCGTCACATCAGGATTTCATCTGCCATTCATCGGCAACTGACTTGTTCGCTTCACTGACTATGACGGCTTACAATCAAGTCTTCAGCCATAGTGTCGTCAACTGGTGAAATACTTTGCTCATAAATTATGCTTCTTAATTGCTCATGTACTACATCGATCGATAGTTCACGATGCGGCCACGGCGTTCCAAACCTGACGTTCACAGTCATCTTTTCAGTCGTTTAGTGTGAACCTACCGTGAACGGCGTGTCGGTTTGAATGCAACGCGAGCATTTCTCTGAGTTTCCGAGCGCCAACATCATCTAACTGACTTAAACTCGAACAATAAAAAAAATTATAGAGTGACGCCCATGGTCGAATCGCTTCGAACAACGCAAATAGCGTTCTTCAGGTTCGCAACGCCTTGTGGGTTTTTCACGGGGAGCGCAGACAAGGTACAAAAAGTATCCGTGTAAGGCTCCGTGCAAGAGAAACTCATATGAAACCATTTGTGAGAACATCGCTTCTCGCTACCAGACCCTCGTGTCTTCCCTCCCCCGGGAGACCACTTTTTGACACCGACCACCGAACGCTCATTTTATGACTGGGCCGCACAGGCAGCCCAGTAACAAGATATAGATCTAGATGAGTATGTCCTGGATTTATTTCTATGATGATACAGTACGGACTGGTTTCCAACATATTGCTGTACACTATTTAACTGAAAACAAATAATTCTTTATTTTCTATTTACAACGACTCAGTGTATATCTTTATGTACACTAAATACAATGAAGGTGCAAAAATAACTTAAGATGTGATGAATCATTATAGTCGTCATCATCATTATTATAAATCATTATTTGTGCTTTTTATTTGGTAATTTTACTCTGTCTTTCTTGAAAATCCTTAAATAACAATGTCCAAGACCATTTATGAGCCCGCGAGACTGAGCATACCACACAAACAGTTGTTTTCAGTAAAACCACTGGACATTGTTGTCTAAGGTCTTCCGTTTTTCTTAGGCACCGCGCGGAGCAAAACCATAGTCCTTCGTATTTAAGAGTGCACTTAGCTAAAAGAATTTTTCTTAGAATATGAGCCGTTCCCAAATTACTATTATTACTATTATTATTATTATTATTATTACTATTATTATTATTATTATTATTCGTAGTAGTAGTAGTAGTAGTAGTAGTAGTAGTAGTAGTAGTCATTTTTTTTTTTTTATAATGACTGTTAGTACCATTGTCATTATCAGCATCATTATCATTACTATTACTATTGGTGTTACTATTATCATTAGCACTAGCATTAAAAAAAATTGTAAATTACGGTTCCGTGTAATTTGTTCTCCCACGGAGAATTTAGGAGTTCTTAGGACCTCCTTGAGACGTGTCCGTGCATTCCACAACGAATTGGAATTTGGAAATGTTGGTTTTTTTATACTGAGAGAGGAAAACCGGAGTACCCGGAGAGAAAATTCTCGGAACAAGGGCGAGAACCAACTACAAACTCAACCCACATATGCAGTTAGCGTTTTCCTAACCATAGTAAACATTAGCATTGGCATTAGCATCATCATTATCATTATCATCATCGTCATCGTCATCGTCATCATCATCATCATCATCATCATCATCATCATTATCATTATCATTACTATTATTATTATCATTATCATTATAATTATCACTAGCATTATCATTATCATTATTTTTATCATTACCATTATAATTAGCATTAGCATTAGCGTTTTCATTAGCATGATCATCATCATTATTATTAGCATTAGCATTAGCATTATCATTATCATTAGCATTAGCATTAGCATTAGCATTAGCTTTAGCATTAGCTTTAGCATTAGCATTAGCTTCTGCATTAGCATTAGCATTAGCATTAGCATTAGCTTTAGCATTAGCTTTAGCATTAGCTTTAGCATTAGCTTTAGCATTAGCTTTAGCATTAGCATCAGCGTTAGCATTCACATTAGCATTAGGATTAGGAATAGCAATAGCATTAGTATTGGCATAAGCATGTTGAAAATTCAGAACGCAGCGCCCGGGACACTTGCAAGCTACTGACTCGTCACCAGTCGTCTCTTTTGTAATTAAATATTGAAGAGAGAAGCGCGTGGAAGATTCGCGCGGGGGGAAATGGTCTGTTGCGACCGTTTCATTACCGCTCGTGACCGCCTGCAAATAATAAGAGGCGACAGGGGACGAGTCTGTACAAGCTATATAGATTTTGTTGACAGTTATTTAAGTAACGGTCCAGGTAAGAAGGAGCTAACTATTACCTCTACTATACTTCTAACATTGGCTTAAACAGCAAATTGTACGAAACCTTTGCAAAGGAGCATGTATATTATTCCTTTGTTTTCTAACCGACTTCCTTAAAACAAAAACTTGACTGAGTCTAAGTGACACCGAAATCATATGTAAGGAACATGTAAATTTGTTACCTTTTCTTGGCTGTTGTTTTGCAACTCTTATGATTGGTCGGAATCCTTTAACACACTAACATTTCTATGTGGGGAAAGTGTATTTCGCTACTACAAATTAAAAGAAATTGCTTCCCATCTTTCCCGGATCATTACTTAGTAATAAGTGGGTTGGCCGCGGTCCACTGGGCCGACCCCTAAATCTTCCCATGTAATATCACCATCATCATCATCACCATAATTTTCATCGTCATCGTCATTATCATTATCATTATCATTATCATTATTATTATTACAAAACAGACATCAATACGTATGTGCAATCAAATGGTGACGATTGAAATTCGGGGATAGTTTCGTGCCCCTTTTGTACAAATTCTAATAATTTGTCAAGCCTTTTATGGCCTATTAATATCACGGGTAACAAATTATGTTCACTATTGTCTTTTTTTTTTCTTTTTTTATTTGTTTTATTTTATCTTAGTTTGTTATTCGTATTGAGCACTCCACGCACTGAAAATTTTAGAGCATAAATTTTGGCTTAAGTTCGTTGTTAGGTTCACAAGTTTACGAATTTTTCGAAAAAAAAAATGAAAAAAGCACTTGTTAGAATCCTTCTTGGTGTGCCCTTTCGTGTGTTTAGGTTTTCTAAAGCATCTTTTATAATGCCCTGACATCTTCAATTTTAACATTTTAAAACTTCGACTAAGACGTAAGGAACATTGCCTTGATGGCAATTAATTTCACACGTGAAATCATAAATTAACGCTGAAATTTTGTTCTAAAATTAAGGAGTAATTTGTCACCCATGAATTAAGTTTAGATTAATTTTACATTGGATTCCACTTTCCAGCGTCTCATTGTGTTTCTGTTGGTTCACCGACCCAGTGATCATGTTCGACCCCTGACTTAGTCTCCCAATGTGGTATCTGGGAATAAAAATAAGGAGAGAGAGGAAATATATCAGAAATGTAAGGGGAAGGTTTTTGGTAAATATTAAACACTTACTGACCGGTCCTGAGGGAAACAAAATTAACTGTTTCCCTTGAGACCAGTCTTACATAGCTGACGAGCTCACGGAGAAAACTTTTTCGTGTACAAATTAATGAAAAATAAATCCAGCGAGCGGTGAACATTTGCTGGTAAAAGTGCACCGTTAACCTCTGACGTCGTAGATTTTAGCAGGAAACAGTTTCATTGTTAGATGTCATGTGACCTAGAAGTAACCAACGAGAGCGCACGCTGTTGGGAAACAATTTCCCGCTATTGAACAAGACTCCACGGTAGGACACTATACAAATCCTAACTTTTGATAAACCACCAGAGCTCGGAAAATTGTTTTGTAAGAGAGAAAGATGTTGATATCGTGGCTTAGTCATTCTCTTTATTTATTTATTTATTTATTTATTTCGTGCTACGTCACGGATCTTCACCGATAAACAGTGCTTAGACTATAACAGAAATTCTTTATCTTAAACTCCTAAATGAGAAAATCTATCTCAAAAAAATCATTTCTTCCTAGAACTGACAATCCTGAAACAACGAAAATATTCATCTATTGTCTCCTAAAAAGTGTAACATTTCGCACATTGTTTCTAAGCACTGTTTATGAATTGTTGAAGATAAATCGACTTGTTAAGGTCGAATTCGTGTGTGTATAGGACGGCTTCCATTCAATTATAGTCTCACTTTTTTTTTTCTTTTTTTTTTTCAGTACGTTTTGGGCGCTAAAATTGTTCCATAAAACACCCCCAAACTACTCCTGGAATTTCATAATTTTTCAGTCCGATTGCGCAAACCTTTCACCGTTCATAAATCCTACTTAAACTTACAACTTACCAGGGGCAAACTGGCCCTTAACTGTTCTGTTTCCAATAGCACTTCCACGTCATCGCTTTGTTTCAATAATTTTGTAGTAAGTCTCATGACGGATGCATCGCAAGATGGTAGAGTAAAGGTTACTTTCTCAGGTATCCTCATTTCATCTATCTTGCATCTTTCAATCTGTCAATAAAAGGAACGTATTCACATTTTGATAAAATTTCTCCAAAAAAAAAAATAAAAACAAAACAAAACACAATCAACGCGTAGCACTAATTTCCTTATGGATCAAAATGCAGTGGCATATAAAAAGCGCAAAGTTAGAAGAGAAAGTTACTGTTGATGAAAATTTTCGGAAAAAAGCAACAACAACAACAAAACAAAGGAACAAAACTTGAAGGAAACTTGCGCGAAATCAGAATGATCCCTTTTACTAGACATTGAATACCCATACAAGAAAACTGGAGACAGAGCCACAAGATCCAAATGTCGCAGTTTTTAACTACCCTTTCTTTAGATGTAGAAGATTACTGACATATATTCCTGTTAGCACGTTAACAAACTGAAAACGTGCATGAAACCCAATAAGTTTAAGTATGAATCATATGGCTGGAGCCAGCCATTCTCTAATCCAGTATTTTTAAATTGCTTTCAAGCTAAAAAAATATCCATATGGTCATTGGGAATTAATGGTAAAAGCTTCGATAGAAAAATGTCAGAACAATTTTTTTAACTGTAATTATCATTATTATTATTATCATCATCATCATCCATATTATTATTGTTGTCGTTGTTACTGTTGTTCTTGTTATTATTATTACCGGTTCACTAGCTGAGCTAAAATCTTCCATCTTCATCTGTACAATAAGCGTCTCATCATTTTTGCTCTTTTTCCAGCAAAATCTATCAGAGTAAACTTTAGTCATGCCCAATCTAATTTGCTCCTCCTGAAAGTAAAGAAAGGATATCAAAGTCCTCCACAATCACCGCCGTTTCCAATTAAATTGAAGGTGAAATGACTCAGCTCCCTTAAGCTACTTGCAAACGGACGCAACAACTCCTAAGAGTTATTGCGTCCGTTTGCACTTAGCTAAAAGTTTGCCTGGTTTCCAACATTGTGCAACAACATGCCACACGGTGTGCAAGCGGACGCAACATTGTTGGGACTTGTTGGCTGGCCAGCAATGTTGCGTCTGTTTGCACGGGGCTTACGGATTTAAAATGTACTTGTAAACACGCTTCGCGTATATTTTGCTAGACGCTACACATTACCTGCAGGAACTTAGACAATCTGTTATTTTCTACGTCTCTGGTTATAAACACAAACAGCTGTTTCCTTGATTCACACCTCCCACGAGTTTCAGGCTGTACATAGCTGAATATATCAAGGATATATTTTTCATCCTCGCAGCCTAAATCTGTACATTGGCGTTGTCGAGGTAAAGGGATATTATCAGACATTTTCCAGAGAGCTAGAAAAACATAAAAACAATGCGGAAATTTTGTCAGTTATTTCAAAAGTTATGTAGACCTTTGACGTCGAAAATATGACCTGCTAGGCGGTCGAGAAAATTGAACTTTCTTGACTGAAAGACCGTGACTTTTCAGGAACTCTAGATCTTTGCATTATCCGAATAAATTGTTAGTAGTTGAGTGTTATAAAATTTTTCGATTTTAATATCCGTGAAATGTACCACTGGCAAGTTCTAAAGTCACAACCGAGCGTGATTTAAACCAAAAAAGGCCGCCGGGGTTTGACCTTTTGCTTTTAACTCCCGGCCTTCCTTTTTCATTTATTTTTCACTCCCATAAATAAATTAATTAATTAATTAATAAAAGCTCCTTACATTAATTTATTACGCAAAGTTGTAAGGGAAAAAACCCTTCAAAACGAAAGTCTAGAAACAGTGTATTTCTTCCGCCACCGTAGTAGGGGATTCCCCTAATCTACATGATACAGCATGTTTACTTAATGCAAGCCAGTGGGTGAACTAAAGTTTTGGCAACAAAAGCTCTGTCTATGATCTTAAATGGTCACGGTATTTTAGTTGATTTCCTGTAATCTTATCACTCTCAACGGCTTTAAGACCTTTCAGGTTGAAAATTTGCTTGTAAACAAATAATCAAGCAGCTATTTTTTTTCCTCGTTCACTATATATGCTACCAATTTTTAAAGAGTTCCCTCCTGTGTGGGCTTTAACAAATTAAGGACACTTTGACATTTTAGTGACCTTTTTTTATGACCAGCTAAATTTGCATCGGGTGCTAAAATTAAAATTTCTAACCAAAGCGCTTTGAGACTCTATCGCGGGGCGAAAACTGCAGAAGAATCAAATCGCGTGACAACGCCGTTTGGTTTAATTCATGCAGAAATCCCAAGAGAATTGATTCAACGTGAACTCTTGATCACACATTGTTATGTCCTTCACCAAAATATATACACTCTTCAGAAACCAAAACACCGACAAAAGAAGGAAGTAATCATTTTGAAACGACAAAAATGTTCGACAATTGGCAAGAGGATTGGAGAAAATCGCGATTAAATTGCGATTTTTGATAATGAACTTACTTGCTAGTCGATTTTGATAAATGATTATTCACTTTACCGACTGACCAAGATCAGTGTGTTCTTTTGACCCTTCCGTGGTAGCGGTAAACTGCTTTACAAACATCAGAGTCGTTCGTTCATGTGTGGTTCACCAGATTCTGGACAACCTTACCACCGGACAGATTTTGTGACCACCTGTTTCTTTGCTTTTATACGTATCACGTGACGGTCGCTCAAGGGCACACATTGCTATTCGTGTCCTCTGAATTCTTGAACATTTCTATTGTCTTTACTCTTCTGTTTACAATCAAAAGGGTCTAAAGTGTAAAATTGAGCACATGTGGAAATTTTCATGGATCTCGTGACAATGCGGAAAAATGCCCTCGCAGCAATACAGATTTCGAAAGTTTACAACTCCGTCCTTAGCAACCAGGGGTTTCCCCGCGATAATTTGCATTTTTGCTTTCAAAGCGCTTTTATTTTCGAAGGGAAAAAACCCTGCGTTTAATATGTAGTTTGTATTGTACTTTATTGTATCGCTCGGACTTCATATAAGAATGTTTTCGTCTTCGCTAGTATGATTAGAAAGCTTTTCGCGATATATCATTTTCATTGTATACTTTTGCTAAATTTACATTTATCTTTGATGAAACTCGCGTCTTGGCTTTCATTGACGGACGAGAGGGATTTGTCTTAACATGACTGTGTCTAGCCAAGGTCAATGTCATATCAACACAAAAGAATAGACCTTGTGATGTTTTCAATTACGGAAAAACGCTCCAGGATCGATTTATTTTATTGGTTATAAGCTGAAACGAAATTTTGCACCAATCACGTAACAGAGGGTAACAACTATAAAAAGAGGTGTAAACACTGAGCAGCACCGAGCGACCGCACTAAGGTCCGCGTCACGCGAAGAACTGCTTAAGATCGGAGCTTGAAGTATTGCACATGGGTGAGTATAAACCAAAAGAAAACATATAGAATTAAATAAAATAAGCATGGAAAGTTAACAGGGTATATGAAAACAAAAAATATTTAGACTATATCTCTAAGTTTAAATTGAAGTCAAGAATAATCTAACAGCAGATTTTGTGGTGATCATCGTTATCACAAATTTGTTGTTCATATTGTACCGTCTGCATTTCCTGCGTTATCAGCATCCAGAAACAAGGATGAAATAGCTAGAAATTGTATACATGTAGTTATATATTGAACATAAAGTGCAAAATAAGTCCACATTTAACGATTGTCTCTCATATTCATTTCAAGAAAATCCACCCGCCAGTTAAAGGTGGATCTGGCTGGAGTCCACACACCAAAATAAGTTTTGAATAATTTGCACCGCAGACTGTCAAACAGGGATGAATTATGCAGACTATAAAGAAATGGCACAGTCCGCTAGGGATTAAATGAAGATTAGTGTCCGACGCTGGATTAGGGGTGAAATGCTGAGATCCGGGATAGAGCATACTGCAGACCTTGCTATACAGACTACAATTAGGTGTAAAATGCAGATTGCAAAGCAGGGCTTTAACGCTAGTTTAGGGCCGGATAAAAGGCAGTGCTCTAGACGCCGGAGACTGACCAAGCAGTTAAGTCTTTTCACAACCCTTTTCCGCCCTGTTCTCTGTTAATCTCTTCTATTCTCTGGAGATTCAGACGTGTTTGACGAAGTTCTCTGCCACTTGATTACATTGTCAATTCATGGTGTTCTGAGTGTTTTAGACTTTTATGTCCCTCCTTTACATTTGAATACTCTGGGCGGTCCGTCGATCCGGAGGTGCTGTAACTGGTGGGAGCGAACAAAGCAAATGCTCTAGTTCCTGTTCGCTCATAAAAAGGAACTACTTGCAGTCTACATTTACACTTATCAAGAAACTACTGCGAGTAAATGGTAAGGTCCAGCAGTGTCCAGTTAATTCACGTTTGGGGACGAAGTGGAGGGTATATTAAGATTGTTATGCTAACGTTCCATGCATGGCCAACACTAACCCAAACATGGTTTCTGTAAACCGTTTCCAATGGCTGAAATATCAGCCCAGAGACTGCTGACATTCCCCCTGCTCCATTCTCGCGTTGCCCACTAACCCTCAATTAATGACGGTCAGCTATAACAGCACTGTCTACATGAGTTGATATGGTGTTGCTTGTTTCTCTCTACATCAACCGATGCTTATTCCAGAGATCCATCACTCTTTGTTCAGCTTATGATCAATTCGTGCTTTTTTAGGGTTCTTCTCTCTATCTTATTTGCTTGAGTGATTGATTGATTGATTGATTATTGATTGAGAATTAGCGAAATAATAGCAAACAGAAAGTTTCAGAAACTAAGTGACTTAGTAATTGGTGGTCACTATAGTGTTATACTTTTTCACTGTGGTAAACGAACTGGTTATAAATAGGCTAGCTACAGTACATTTACTTGCCTTAATTTAACTAAGTACTCCGAAAACACATGGCACAGCACTGTTTTGTTAGCTCGAAGGACGATAATTCCCTAACTCCCTAACATGACTCCACCATGGCATTTAACAGGCTGGGCATTCCACTTTTGCAGAAAATCTGGTACACAGCAGTGCTGTGTTAGATCTAGAGAGCGATGACGCGGACCGCGAGTCAGAAGTCCAAATCAGCAGCTGTTATACGATCCATGGTGGTAGTCTATCTACACCTCCGTCGACTCTGATTGAGCACTGCTGTTTGGTTACTCGAGGCAATGAATGGGTCATCGACGTAAAATGTTGCCCCATACAGCACGACATCCGAGAAGGTTCCCAACAAAAAAGGAACTGGAGAAGCCTAATGGAAGTTTACCCCAACGCTGTTGTGAATCAAAAACACAACGATACTGAGGTTATTTTGCCATCTCTTCGGGAAGACGTGGAAATAGCAGCGTTTGGAAGGCCTGGAAAGGATGACCGGAAAAGAATGCAAATGGCGATCTTTGCCAGTCGTCCAACCCAAGGACGAGACTGGAAGATTTGGGTTTATCTCGTAGATGATACAAATCCTGCTTGCAAGGTATTAAGTGATACTCTATTTCTCTAAACAGGTTATTTTTTACTTAAAAGAGACGTGGGAAAGCCAACCTGCACTCTTTTTTTAAAAAAAATAAAGTCGTGTAATGCTTAACGGCGACGGCAATGAGAACGGTAACACTTTCAAAAGATCTAGTTATCTAATGAGAGTAGACTTTCACGTCGAGGGAGACTCGAATTTGTTGTTGTTTTTTCTCTCTAAAAGTCCGGGTTGCCCTGAGATTTCCCGCCAAAAACACCTCCAGTTGCCTTTAGTGTCATACCTGTTAACTGAGTTATTTTACATTGGTATGCATGTTGTGCGGACAGTCGGATGGTCGGACATACGGTCACGTGATTACCAAAATTTCTCGGATGGATGGGTTACCAAATTTTCTTAACGTATGGGGTTCCGCCATAAGGTTCAGTCTTGGGCCATTCTGTCTCAGAAGTGTGCAGGCATATATTAGTTATAGCTATTTAGATTTTGCTGGTCATTCGGAGAGGTTTTTGAATGCGCCGAATGTATTTTTCAATAAACAGAGTATTTGCCATGAAGAAGACAAAAGAGGAAACAGTCTTCTTTCACCGTGTTCTGGGATGTTCGTGTCGAACAGCAAAGAAGACATCACAATCGAGCTCAGTGCACTCGAGCCTGGATGGAAAATCAAAGGAAGCAGTATAAAGGTACGAAAGGAGAACTATGAGGTCACATTGGGGTATAATAAGATGCATCGGCAAAAGCAAACATATGAGAGTTTCACGTTTCAACACCTTATGGGGTTTCTGGAGAGATTTAATACATAATTTTGCAGCAGCATCACCCCTCGACAGAAAAAAATAATAATTGGTGCATGCTGCACGTTTTGCAACTGCAATAATCCTTACCCTTTTTTTTTCTGAGGCGTTTATTAGGTTTCCCTCATATCTTCGATCCATCAGTCACTCAACACCCCTTTTTCAAATCCACGCTTCTTCTTATAATCTGCTACACAGCCGTTTGTAAGGTAGTCACGGAACGCTCCTCCAGCGTTTCGTGACGACACCAAAAACGGCTGTGTAGCAGACTATTCTCCTTACGGATGTGCCAAAAGACAATCTCTATGTGAGTCGCATTTACCACCCAAAAATCTCGACCTCGAGTGGATTGACTGATTAACTGTATCTATGCTGCCATAAAAATGGAAACCATTTACAACAGAAACAGTCAAGGCTTTAGAAATTACCGCTGATAACTTATCCATCATGTATGATGTATTTTCAGACTATCAAATCAAGAGATGCTTGGAATTCACCAGAAAACTCAGTTGATTTTCCACGCTGCTATTTTGAAATAAGACACGTGGATAGAACAAAACAATCATTTTTCTGCAGAATAAAGGCTTCCCACGAAGGAGACGTCGCCCGAGCAGAAATTGTGGGGTATTTTGAAAAGGTAAATTTTAAGTTATAAATTGCACGAGGCGGACTCTATTGATTAATTGGATTGAATTAGAAGTAGAAATTTGACAAGAAAGTGAGTGCAGTACACCCCTTGACAAATTCGCACTAGAGATGACTTTCAGCCTGTTTTCTTCTTCTTCTTCTTCTTCTTCTTCTTCTTCTTCTTCTTCTTCTTCTTCTTCTTCTTCTTCTTTGGGTAGACAACACTATTAAAAATGACGGCTAACTTTTTTTATTATTATTATTTTCTAGGAAAAAGGTCGCCAAGTCATCCAGACTCATAGAGGTTTTAAAAAACTGAGCAACCCTGATTGCGATTTTTCAGCAAGTAAGACCAAAGTGGACGCTCAGTTGTAATTTAGCTCATGTAACACCTTGTGCCAGCATTATGTTTTACTAGCTAATTTTTCTTTAATGCATTTTTTTTTTTTTTTTTACTTTTTAGAGATAAACACCTCAATTCCGACGTTCCTTTTTGTTCTTTTTGTCTTCTTTGCTTCGTCACTGTCTCGCCCAAGGCTTAGCAGGTACGTTTAGATCATCCCCGCCCGCCCCACACCTGACGGGTCCTTAAAGGAAATTTATATTTCTGAAAGAAATAAATGGTTTTGATACAATGCCGCTAAAATTTGCAGGGACCAACAGACATTTAATGTCTGATCCAGAGACTGAAATGATGTTTGTGTTTCCAACGTTCTTGACTACTCGAGGGTAAACGGAACTGCTTCCCGTGAAGTCTTTTGCTATATAGCAAAGAAGGCAGAATTAAAAAAAACCTTGTTTAAGAGAAGGGCGAAGATATAAGAATAGTAACGAAACAAGAATTCTTAACTTCGCAAATGCTATTTAATAACCTGGCACAAAACTTTTTGAGACGAATAAGAAATATATATTTTACTCTGTCAACCCGGACAAACACGAGAAAATACACACAAACAACATTGGGGAGTGAGGGGGGGGGGGGTACTTTATTTTGCTTAGACGAAATGGTTTTAAGGGGAAAAGTTAGAAAATATATGGAACTGGTACTCTTCTTTTCGTTGTTTATGATGTGTTAGACCTAAAAATCGATAGAGAGCGGCCCACGTATATCCTTTTCGTGCAGACCACAAACAATATAATTTTCCTTGAATTCATTCAACAGAAACAACTCAAATGCCGCAACAACTTAGGAAAATGACGGCTGAACCAAGAGAAGCTATCTGGAAACTTGCATTTAACCCAAAACAATGTTTTGGTGTCAACAGACCAGCTTCGGGTTGCAGAATGGCTACTTAAACTAGTTCCAGCCTCAAGAATCAAGCTGAGCCTCAACATGTTACTAATTTACACATATTTAGTTTAAACTGCTCATTCCATGACCAACTGTCTTAAATATGCTCATTTAGCATGCTTGTTTCCTTCTAGTATGTGATTTTATGTGATCATATACCACGCTGTAATACATGATAAAATATTACAGTTCAAGTTGCTAATAGTTTCTATATTATTGTTTTTTTTTTTTTTCTAAAATTTAGTTGAGAGTGATAGTCAAAGTTTATAACGCAACAATTTTGGATCCGTCTACACAGCTCTTCCAATATTGTTGGGTCCACGCATACATGATTTACTTGTGCTCAGGTAAATTAAGGCATGGGCCTCAATTTACCTTAATTTGTTCTCTGCAAAAGTGAGGGGCTGGTCTATATCTAAGAGCTTTAGATGAAGAGACATAAAACTTTGCCAGCTACCCACATTTTTAGTTTGTGTCAATTTCGTGCTTTAAAATTATGCAAATTAGGCCACGTGACTTCCATCGGCTGAAAAAGCTTTTTCTTGAAACGGCAACACTTTTTCGTGTGTCCTATATTATTTTACCGTGGCCTTTAAATATATCACGTCTGTGCTTGGCCTTTTTTAGATATTTGAAGTCGAAGGCGTTAAGATGGGATACAATTAATTTAGGGGGACTGGGTCTCGTTGAAAAAGCCGTTTATTTTCTAAAACAGTAAAAAATTCAAAAAAGGCCAAGCACGGTTTTGTAGATGCTTGCATTACACATTGCTCCTGTCCTAAACCAGTCCGGTTTAATAACTCACAATAAAAAGTGTTGCCATTTTTGTTTAAAGACTTTTTATTGTTTTCTGGCCGTGTGGAGTCACGTGACATCATTTGCATACTTGAAAATTACCTAATTGACAGAAACCACACATGTATGTATCTGGAAAAGTCTCATCTTTCTACTGCTAAAGTGCTCAGAGATAGCCCCCCATCACTTTTTGACTGAATCATTGGGGACCCATGCCTTAATTTACCTGAGTGTCGCAATATTCTGTCGGCAATTACAACTCCCAACAGTCTCGGGCAAACAAAGCCGGTTGGAAGTTGTAGGGCCCGTTTGCACATAGTTTTAAGAAGATGGCTGGACGCAACAACAACAATCTTTTTTGTACTCACTAAAAAATATATTACAATGAAATTATTAAAAGACTAAATTAGAGTTCTGGCTGCCTGGAATAACCATAGGGGCTAGCGAAGCCAAGCAGCCAGTAGACATAGCATTAAATAGAAATAATTAGTTAAAGGTCAGCAAGAAAACTGAGGTACAAATGCACACATAAAAAGAAGGAAAAAGAGAAGAGGAATTACGCTATTTCTACGCTATTAAGGAAGTCTGAAATGGTTAAACTTATATGTAAATACAATAAATTCGTGAATTCTTCGGTCGTTAGACCTCCCATAAAGGTACGTAGATGAAACACGAAATAAGAAGAAAAAAACAAGAAAAAGCAGCTCCACTGTAAATTAATGGAGCTAAAAAAAATACCCCATCTGTCCCGCTGAACGCAGACCGTTCCTTTTGAATGAACTGCTAGCGTATTAAAGGGATGTAAGTTAATTCAGTATTTATTAAAAACGTTAAAGAGATTGTTGGCTTTTTGATAGACCAAATAAAGACCAGAAAAAGATTGTTTGCGTCTTTCTATAGTGAAACAAACAGACACAAAAGAAAAGAAAAAGAGCAAGGAAACGGTCAATGAGAGACATTAACTAACTTCAATTTAAAACTCGTCTAGAGAGCTACTTTGACTGCGACGGTGACGAGACGAAATTGATTGAGACACCTGCTTAAAAGGAAGATTCTTTTAGATGAGTAACTCAGCTACTGGCAGAGCAAGAGTGGAAAGCACTTAAGCCAAAAGGACAAAAATTATCTCGTTAGGCGTAGAAACCATGGCTAAAGCTTTGAAAGGCCCTTATAAACAGTTTGAAAATCATCACCCAAGTTAATGAAACTTAAACGGTCGCATGAATTGCCACAGACATCAAACTTTAAAACGACTATTCGAATTATGCACATGTATAATGATATAATTTCAATAATAGGAAAAACGGAACGAAACGAGGGGTACTAAATCCTAGCTTTGACTACTCCAAACCAGCAACCTACTCACAATGAGTAAGCGATAGCTCACTCGCTCAGTCGTCAGAGCTCTTAACTTAAGTAACTAGAGGGTAATGAATTCGATTTCTAGGATCTTGGATTTAATAACAACAATAATAATTAATAATAAATCTTTATTCAGTAATAATGATAATAATTATAAATAATAATAAGAACAAGAACAAGAACAAGAAGAAGATATTAATGTAGTACAAAAAGACACACAAGAATCGACACTTACCGACATTGCTAAGCCAGCGGATCTTCAAAAATATTAACAATTATCATTATCAATGACAATAATAATGATAACAATGAAGAATAACCACAGCTTTTACTCTAAAAACAAATAAGTCCTTTTGGATTCTCATCACTTTTTGTTGAAAATTTCAGACAATAGACAGTGCGATGAAAGTTTTAATGAAAACGAAGGAAAACGGAAACGGAGTTTAAGCGTGCAAAAGTAAGCTCAAGTATGACCTCGTTTACATAGCCTGCGTAGCAGGCGCTTGGAAGTAGCGGGCGAAAGAGAGAACGGGCGCCCGCGAGGGAGACACGCAATACTTGCAAGCGCCTGCTACGCAGGCTATCGTTTACATGGAAACGTGCAGATTATCTTACAGTACTGTATGTTTACACGAGTCCGTGCAATTTTTTGCTTATGTTAGTATTGGAATGACTTTTTTTATCATCAAAGGCGCGCGTAACTAGGCTTTAAAGGCTTTTATCGCGAAAACTGTGCAAAAACTTGCACACTTCTCAGTTGTTTACACGATTCTCCGTAGCATTATTGGAACTGTATACTGGTCAAAAATTTCAGACCTACTTTTGATCAGGTGAAAAACTTGCCGTGACACTTTGGTCGTTCAAAAATGTCTGCGGAACCTTGTAAACGGGGTCTAAGGAAGCTTCAGATGAACAAACTCTTTAAAACCGTCAAAAATGGACATAAGCAACTCGATTTTTCGTTGTTATCGTCGCGAACCATTCTGACGTAAGAATTTATTACAAGAAAATACGTTATATTAAAGAAAAAAAGGCCGGATTGAATTATATCGGTATCGATCCATAATCAATATGTTATCGATGAATAATCAATAGCATCAGTAACATAGACCATGTAGACGCGAAATTGATAAACTTTCAAAGGTTGGTCACCGATTAGGCATTGATCGCCCGTTTATCATTGCCAGTAAGGTAGCCTGCGAACTGCAGACTTATTTCCGCTCGCTGCTTCTCTCCCTCCGAAACATAATTAGTATCGGAGGGAGACATGCGACGACCGGAAACACGTCTGCAGTTCGCAGGCTACCAGTAAGGATCAGTAAGGGCCTGTTTACCTGGAGGTGGGGGACCCAGATAGGTGAGGTAAACTGTTCAGGCGCGGAAAAAAAATAACATGCGTTTCGCGTTTACATGCAATCGTACAACCCCGCCACCCCGGGGTGCACTTTCTGAAAAGTTTTGAATGGTCGCTAGGCACGTACATCTAATTACGGTAACGTCGTCGTAGAAAAATTAAAACAGAATTTAGAAAATTTAAATAGGAATGCATTTGGCAAGCTCACTAGAATCAGGGATCTGGTCTAACGAAAGAATGAATTAAGCATTTACACAACTTATAACAACGGCCAATTTACCATCAATATCCCCATTGATGTCAATTAAAGTATAACGTTGAACTGCAAAGGTGTTTTCAGAATTAACAAAATATGAAAACGTACTTTGTATGGCTAATTAATGCCCATTTGGCTTTTGTTTAATTGCTGTTGTTGTTGTTGTTGTTTTTTTTTTTTTTGCACAATGTTGATGCCATTAGGTGAAAACAAAAAAATGGCAAGCAGACATCATGTTTTGACGATCATGCTCTTTTGCTTCAATTTACTTGCTGCTCTTGCCTCAACCTTTCATTGCTGTTAGTGGTTTTCTAGCTATTGTCACTTTTAATAGTTATGGTTCGAATATGGCGCGAATTTGATGTAACACCAATCCGACCCCAGCTTTTCTGGTAACCCCACCTAACCGGGTTACCCCATCTACCTGGGGTCCCCCCGCCTCCAGACTCTAAGTCAATAAGTAATGATTTTCTCTGGTTCATCGTTTGTTCTTTTTAAAGGGAATAGAAAAATTGCATATATTCATATCAGGAGATTTTGATAAGTTGGATGCATGAAGAGTTTCATCGGAAGATCAGCCTCACATTTCTCAAAAGTCACGGTCTTCGAGACCAACCTAAAATCTACCCATATTATTCCAGATTTTGTTCAATCGTGTAGTAGGCACATCGAAAACAGTGCCGGATCCAGACCTTGAGACGGGGGGTGGGGCCGGGGGGGGGGTGGTCATCCAGACCCTTAGATAAGGAGGATTTTTGGGCCCCTTGGACCTCAGTTTGGTCTAATTATAAGGGGGGAACGGGCCCTCCGCCCCCCTGGATCCGCCACTAGAAAGTAAAACGGGCTCATGTCAGATCAGAACGACAAAAGGAGTCATAACGGAAGGTTAATCGCGCTTTTTTAAAGTATCAAGTTTACTGTTTTTCTTTGTTCAGTATAATGCAATTAATTTTGACCAGTAAATAATACACGAACTATTCTATTGCGAATAGTGTGTTCCAAGCTTGAGTGCAAAGCATAGTGTAAGAATTAGTAGTCACCTTAAGTATCGACGACGAAATGAGATGACGACGCCGACTGGAAGTGAAATTTTCCCGCGCGAAGCTTCTGGACATGCGTAAGGTTGCCAAAACGTCGTCCATCCTTCGTCGACGACGAAATTCAGGGAGGTTTGCCGTCGTCGCTAAAACGTAAGTATAGAACCATACTTTTTGTGTGTAAATCACTCTTTTTTCCCCCCTTTTCATTCAGTATAAGTGGAAATATATTCTTTGTGAATTAGCAGAATCCAAATGTTAAGCACTTTGTCGATTTCTTTGCCTACTAACTTGGATATGTTTTTCGGGTTCGGTTTGTCTGAAAACCTGAGTGATGGCGGAACAACCAGTGGGAAAGAGAAGTAGGCTTTCCTCTGCCATCTTCCGAACCTGTTAAATTAGATGCTATTCGTTCCCTTGACGGTCTATGTTTACTCGTGCATTGTAGGTTGTACCAAAGGATATATGTTGATTCATTTTTTTCGTACTAAAATTTTGAGAATTTCCCCCGTTGTTTTTAGTTGCTAGCTAGCAACGGCAAGTATTTCCAGTGGACTCTGGAACATGATGTGGTTATTCAGAGCCCTGAGAGAGTACAAGTATGGTAGAACATTGCAGCAGCACTGAATTCTCTTCAGCAGCCGAAGTTTATAGTAAATGCAAGTCAAGAGCTGTTCGAGATCGTTATTCACTTTTACTGGCTTAAAAAACAAAAAACAAAAAACAAAGCAAAAGCTGCGCGACGAATAATACAGGTCGTAAAGAACAATACAATCGCCATAGTCGATTAAACCACCGTCATCGTCAAAATTCGGAGGTATTTGAATGCCATAACAAGACTGTAACAAGACAAACTTCTTTGCAAAGAGGACGTCGTCGTCTGTCTCGGAAGCACTGCTTAAACTTCGTTTTCCCGCTGAAAACGAAAACCCTTGGCCTAGTCTGCCTCGGTTGCGAAGCGTCGTCGTCGTCCGTTTAGTTGTCGGTGCTTAAGGTTTCTATAGTAGATATACATTACGATGCGTTCTTCCAGCTTGAACACACGAGAAAACCTGTTTAGGACTGTCATTGATTAAGTGTACTGAACGGTTTTTGATCATTTAAGACGGTGCGGTTTTTCATCCCTTCCTTAGCTTTTAAGAGAAAATCAAAATGGAATAACTGTGTGAGATGGACCATCAGTTTTCATGGGAGTTGTGTAAATTTTTAGTGTTCGGTGCCATCTCAGATCGAGAAAACAACTTCCTTATTAACCAAAGTCAAGTTCACCTCAATCGACCCAAAACGCAGCTTCAAAATGTCAGAATGAAATACTCTCTGGATAACATTTACTTTCAAGGGAAGGGAAGAAATGGAACACTTTTGAAAAATGGAAACGATGGGATTGCATCAGTCAGATATTCAGTTCTGTTCTCAACAACAGCCTTCCACCCCAATAATTACCGACAAAAATTTCTGGTTAATCATATCTGAAGTTGAAGTTGAAGTTGAAGTTGAAGTTTAATAATAATTTAATAATTAATTCATAAATACATACCGCATTAGTAGTTCGAAAACTGAATTGCGCATTTACGTTACAAAAATTAAATTATAGATCTAAACATAAACTAATCTATCTTAATTAAAAGGAATAAAAAAGCTAACAAGAGATGAGATGCTATCGAAATACAAGTTTCGAAATTCAAAAACTCTAAAATAAAGCTATTCATTAAAACAGACGGTTTAAAATGTGGCATGTTAAAAGGTTGCGCGCGCCAGTGAATAAGTAGATTCGTGCTGTACAGGTAATAACTTATAAAGGCGGTGGTTGTTGTCATTTACAATTGTGTGAAAAGTGCAATGCAAACTCATATTTTGTCACGGTGGGTTGCTTATTCCTTAAAGTTCATAACAACACGAGCCTCGTGATTATACTGGTGGGCTTCTACTTCTACATACAATGTTCACAATGTCCAATAATACACCTCCAACAGGAGATGGGCTCCCGACATCGTGAATAAAATGACAGAGATTTGGATACGCATCTAAAAGGTACTCAAAAAAAGGGCGGGTTAAATGCAGGAAACCTGGGAACGAACTACGCTAAAAAATCCGCGAGCCTTCAAGAAATGGTTAATGATAAGATTGAGTTACATGTCAACTTTCACGTAGTGTGGTAACGGCCACGAATGATTTGATCTCTATTTCAACAAAACTTAAAAAAATAGAGTCTAATAAAATTCCTCTTCACTCAAATTAATTATTCAAGCGCTTGCTAACTACTTCTAAAGCTAATTGCACTGGTATTATCTCCGTTCGTATTTACACTTGTGTCAAAGTATTTACAGGCGGGAAATGAATTTGCACCAAGGAACTACAACATTTAGAAAGTCATGTAAAACCCATACTTGTCGTCACGTACTCGTAACTTCATCAGTTACTGTACTGGACTCGGCTGGTTCACGGATAACAAGTTCGTGTTCTACTGCAGGCTTCGTGTCGATCTGGGGTAGCTAAAATGATTAAAAACAAAACAAAAGTTTATTATGATGCGAAACACCTCTCTCCTCTGCAGAGCGCTCCATGTTCTACTTCCTGTCTCCACATGTGATTATTGTTAAGGAATAGCTTTTAGGCGCCCATTACTCCTTGTTTGGAAACAACAAACAGAAAATAGCTCGAGATTTCAAACGTACATCATCTTGAGTACTTCTAATCGAGTTTTCGAAATCGGATCTTAATTTTTAAAGACCCTTGGCTTTCTAAGTCCTCTTTTACGGCACAAGTGATAGCACCATTCCCTAATAGAAACACAGACGCAAACAACGGCTCTGTCAAAAGAAAAATAACAAAAGCTGCTGATTAAAATTACTTACCAAGGACAGTGGGACGTGTAACTGCTCTGTTTCCAAAAGGATCTCATTATCACTGTTTTCATCGATTAGCTTGGCTTTTACTTTCATGAACGATGCGTCGGATGGTGGCAGAGTAAAGGTTATTTTCTCAGGTAGTCTCATCTCCTCTATCTTCCTTCTATCAACCTGCATAAGATAATAGTAGATGTTCATGTTACTTTCTGAAAGGGGCGATAAAGGCGCGCCTGTGAGTTTTAAGAGCTTAGCTATACTGTATTACGGACATGAACTCAAACCCTTTTTATATTTGTCTATCTCAATCCACCGATGTGTACCGATAACTAACGGCAACTAACTACTTGTGCTGCTCGAGATCAACCGAGTAAGTTGGAAATTTATTTATTTTTTAATCCCACAGTTTGGATGAAAATGCGCTTTGATTTTCCTATCTCTTTACTAATTACTTTTCGAAATAATTGAAAAATTTATAGACAGTTTTATAAATTTCATATGCAACGCAATCTGATTCTGAAGTTATCAATAAAAGAGGTTTCAGACTTCTTGTCTCCCTAAAAAAAGATGAGGAATTTACAAAGAAAATTTCAGTAAACTTTGGTTTCTTGCCTACCACTAGTTTGGGCAAAATCAAAGGCCGTCCACATTTATCGGGAAAGATAAGCATTACCTTTTTCACAGCTTGGAAAGATCCCATCTCCAATTTGGCAACAAGAGTCACTGATCCCTGTTTTTTTCTCCAGGAGAAATTGTTTGAATAAACTGTTATCATTGGAATTCTGGTCTTTTCCTCCTGAGAATAAGACAAATGTTAAATCAACACTTATCAGTAAAACTGAAGGTGATGGGACAGACCTTAAATACGAAATTATTTGGGACAGGTGTTTTTTTTTTTTTTTAACTGAAAATGCATTTGTTCTCGATGACAATCAAGAATACCCCCTTTGTTGCTTTGGAGGCTTAGCCCCTTTTTTTCATAAAATCCCATGTATTACGGAAACTTCTCTTTGAACAGAGTCTTTTCTTCGTCCTGAGGCTTGCATGAACGAAACGGCAAAAATTAGCTAGGGCCTGTGGTGGGAAAGCAAGTCGACAGACGTCAAAAAACCACAGTACAGTGGAGGGCGGAAGCATCTTAAAAATTGGTGCGACACACTGCATGAAGACAAAGAGAGATAGCGAGATTTGTGATTATGGGTTCATGTAATAAGAAGCTAAAGAATAATGTTGATGGCGATGAAAATACCCAGTTTCTTTTAGGTGATGATGAATGATGCTGATATGATTCATAATTCCTTCATCAGCATTTCTCATTATGATGGAGATAGAACATTATAACCCACCCATGACGTCGACAATAGCAAGGGTGCGAACTCGGCTACATTATCCCATCCTAGATCCCTAAGAAAATTATGTACCTGTAGAAAGGTTCTTCTGTTCCCTCCAGCTCTAGTTACGAATAGAAAAAGCTGTTTGTGGGATACATTGCTCTCATCAAGCTCTAGTTGAACGTGGCTGAAGATATCAATAGTGTACCAGGCATCTTCGGACTCAGAATCTACACATGTTGTTTGTTCAGTCAGCGAGACATTGTCTGACATGGCCTCAGCGAAAGCTAGGTAAAAGAGGGAAAAATGTGTTACTCACTCAATCAAATCTGCCAATCAATTCTCCCTTGGTAGTGTCTGGGCGAAAGCAATCCGTGGTGAAAAGAGCAGTTTTCAAGACAACGAATTAAGGCTGCCATGAAAGGTACAAACATGTAAATTTATGACATCTTTTCTTCTTATTCATGATACGTATTAGGACTGAGGTTTCTTTATGTGCTCGTTAGTCCCCCCACCCATGCAATTGTTGAAGGGGTTCAAGGTATAATCCTAAGCAGACTAAATTTCATTTCCCTTGTAATGAACACCCGTGCGTTACAAACAGGCTTTTGCTTACGATATAATAAAAAGACCAGTGCATGGCTTTAGCTTTGCCGTCCAAGGACGCCATCTTCTCCGTGACACGGTCATTAGCACAGCTAGCATGGTCATGTGATTTTATCGTGTAATTACTGACACTCCCAGATGAAACTGCAATACAGAACAATTGATCACTGGCATCATAGCTTGAAAGACAAATAACTTATAGATAGTCTACCTTTCTTAATCAATCAAGAGGTCTTGGAAAATGTCGTAAAGTGGTATCGATCGCTAGCCGTTGTCGATATCGATTTGGCGGTTAGAAGGTGGGAGGACTAAAAGAACGACGTTCAATCTCATACCCATGCCATTTCAATGTTCAAAATGGCGACCTCATATTGATAGCCTCAGAGAACGCTCTCTAAAAATAAATGTGTATTTGAATGACATTGGCATGTCAAAAGTTACTTTGCCTCCTCGACTGTTTGAAGTTTTATTTCATGAGCACGTTCCCCAGTTAAATGAATTAGGTAGTAATGTGTAGATAGGAGCGTTACACAGAAATATTTGTTCACAGGTGTCAGTAATTCATCAGACTAAGTCAACTTAGCTCATTAAATCATCTTGATATTGCTCACTCAGAAAGGTTACAATAAAATAGTGTTCTAGTATGCAATTTGCAAATTAGAAAGATTTTAAAAGGAATTTTTAATTTTGCAAGTTCCTTTTTGAGCAAATCGATGTAAAGCAGTTACAAAGACGGTGGTGCTGCGAGAGCCAACAGCTCCCTTTCTCTTACAAGCAATTTACTCTAGCAGCAAAAGTAAACTCGCGAAACGAGCAATCTAATTGATGGATAGCCAGAATGCTTGGAGGGACTCTAAAAGTTACCTACTTCTTCGATCCTATCATCTGTTTGATCCTGGGTGTGTTGACTTGAGCTTAAGAGTACTGTTTCGAGAATTGTTCTCTGCTTTGAAGCTTAGGCCTCCCAACGTATAGAGGCGGGCGAATCGTATTGCTTTTATGATGTCTGGCACATGATCGGGACTAAGTGGAAAACACTAGTTCATCCGCTGTCACCTAAATGGTTGCCGGGAAGCATGGTCTTACTCGATGAAGTATGAAATGGTTTTAACCGGAAAATGTAATGCTGGTTATAAAATGAATGCTATAGACTCCTGCTTCCCCCTTGAAGTAAGCCTCCATTTTGCAAAAAATTAATCTGGCTGAGACAAAGATCTAGAAGCTTCCTTGCGTAGTACATATTACTAGAGGAATCACACTGTTTATTCCTGAGGCTGAAGTATTATTAAAAAGCGTCGAAAGATGTGAAAGATCGCGTTTAAAATTATTGTGCATGTTATTTAGGGAAGACAGTGATGAGTTCAACTTTTGATTTTTTAAAGAAAAAGAGACAAAATAAATAGAAATAACATCAATTCGTCAGCTGGTAAAAATCCCAACCAAGTATGAAACCGAAAGTTTAAACTTCCCCGTAGCCTAATCTGCATACATAATCGAACAGGGGATTCCCCTGCCAGCATGTTTACGTTTACAACCTTGCGTTCGTGAAAACCATTCATTTAAATGCTTCCTTTGAATGGCAGCCCGCTATTCATCGATGGGGAAAAAGTCCCTTTAAAAATTTAAAATTCATTGTTCTATTTCATGAGCTGTTGGATTTAAAACGCGATTTTTGATCTGACAAAAGCCTGATCAAAAAGCTTCCTGACTGTGAATTGATCGCGTGGCGCTAAGACGATTTTGTAATTCGATCGTGAAAGGAAACTTGTGCACGCAACCACTATTATGATTATTTAATACATGTATATCATCGTTCGCAGCTGTAAAATATACCGAATATACTGTCTGTTGCTTTCTGTACTTAGATAACGCCTTTTATATATATTTCCCATAAATATTGACAAGTGCTGTATATGGCAAATATTATGGAAATATTTATGTTGTCAGTAGCAAATTCAATCTCCGCGAAAAACCCTGTCTACGTTTGACTATGATAATAAAGATACTCACGTATTACGTATAATGAACTCCTTTTCCAAGCTACCAGCGTTTCGCTATCGATTGTGTTTTGGTGTGAACGCGATTGGACTTATCAACTTTTTGATGTTACAACTTCGCTTTACTATTCAAGTTTGTCGAATAGCCGGGGAATCTAAACAAACTTCATCGAGGATATATACAAATGATAGTCGTTCAAAGAAAATGACGAGGCCATGTGCCGGGGATTTCCCGAGTGACGTCGATATTTTGTTCATTTTTTAAATTTTATTTTATCTTTTTACTTTTTACTTTTCGCTTACGGCAGCGTTTTCATTTTCGAAGGGAAAACTACTCGTTGCGGACTTCTTTTGAGGTCGTAGCTGAGAATTATTTTAATTGATCATTCGTTTATTTTCCGTTTGATATAGGTACGTGTCATGACACAATCAGCTTGGTGAAACAAAAGTCATTGTAGCTAAATAGATTTTAGTTGTGTAATACCATTAATTTGCTTTGGAGGAAAAAGTACTCGTTGCGGACTACTTTTGAGGTCGTGAAGCTGAGAATAATTTTAATTAATCATTCGTTTATTTTCCGTTTGACATACGTACGTGCCTTATGACATAATCAGCTTGGAGAAACACAAGGCATTGTTGCCCGACTAGATTTTAGTTGTGTAATACCATTTGCTTTGATCTTTCGTTCCTTATTTGAGCAAAGAATGAAATTTACCGTGGTTGCAGTAGTCCATTGTCAAAATATCTGGCGTGAGTAAATTCAACAAGACGTATAATTTCTAGTTTTGCTTCCTCCAAATGGAATATACAATTAATCTATCGTACATAAAACGTCTCTCGCTCTTTCTTGAAACCAAAACAAAAGGTTGTGATTTGCAAGGTTCAGGGGCTCCCAACGACTGTTTTCTGTAAAATATCTGTTCGCAGAAGCAAATATTGCCTAAAATTTTCTATTGCTCAAACATGGCTAAAACTTTCTGGATGAGTAAGAAATTCCCTACGATTTTCTGAAGTTTAATTTTTCACATTTCATTTTCCATGTTAGGCTAATTTTCGTTTTAATTTTCGTAAAATTTTCCGATTAAAAAATATTATGGAGTGAGGAATAAGAGAACTTCCCACCGTTCGTAAAACGTTCAATAGCATCTAAACTTTTCGGAAAAATAACACTGAAGCCTTTGTAGTTTCGAAAAGCCTCAAGCTTTCTCAGGATGAACGAACAGAAACAAATCTTTTAGCGCCGCTTACAATGCATTTCTTGAGATCTAAGAGTACTCTGGATAGCCCAAAAAGACTTTTCAATGCATTTAGGAAGAAACCGTCCTTGGGTACCCCTGAAGGTTTGCGTTTCACACTTCCGAAACTGGGAAAAAACCCTTCTCTAGCAACTTTGTTTGTGTCACGACTTCCCTTAAAACACAATAAGTTTGTTAATGATGCAAGAAGCCCCTCAAGATACGAAAGTGTTTTAACTAGAAGTAGTGATGCAATGATACGTAGCGAATAAGAATGCAAGCAGAACATGAAACAGCCATTATAAAAGCACAAGCTGCAACAGAATTCTACACAGTACGAATAAACATTGCCGCTTCAAGGTGCTGTCACTCCACGGAGTTAAAAAAAGAACTAAATGGGTAAGTGTTAAGTTGAAATAAAACATCTGCAAGTACTCCAGGTTAATGCAGGAAGAACTACTATCGAACACTGATCAGAAGCAAAAGGTTTACAGAGGACTCAAGAAAAATGTTTTGACCGAGTAATTAATCTAAACGGGTTTGTTTGCGTTTTTGATTTTTTATTTCATTTTGTCTGAGTACGCAATTTATATGTATATACTGTAGTTTTGATATCTTTTCCGGACTCGTACGCAGTAACAAGGTACGAAGGCGCCAAAATTTAAATTTAGAAAATAAATACATAACGTAGATTTGTAAGGTAGATTTATAAGTCTCGTTGTAAGGTTATGTGAAAGAGATAACGTTTCTCGAGCGAGGTCAATTCTTTAAGTTAAACAACCTGTCCAATTCTGAGCTACTAATTTGTGATATACACAAAAATGTTTTTTTTTTTTTCTTAAATAGGACTAGAGAAAGATGAAGATTATCAACCGGAAGTCCAGATCAGCGGCTGCTGTAAAATTCTGAGTGGTACTTCACCATCTCAACCTTTTCTGATTGAACACTGCTGTTTAATGACACCCGGAAATGAGTGGGATATGGAGGTTAAATGTCGCCCCATTTTACATGGAGCCCAAGGTGTGTCCAATCAGAGAAGCAACTGGAGAAGCCTGATGGTGGTTTGCCCCGAAGCTGAAGTGCAATTAAAACACAATGACATTGAAGTCTCTCTGCCATCTCTGCAGGAAGACGTCGAGATCGCTGCGTTCGGAAGACCAGGAAAAGATGACAAGAAAAGAATGCAAATGGCAATCTTTGCTAAACGCCCAAAACAAGGAAGAGACTGGCAGATTTGGGTTTATCTTGTAGATGATACAAACCCAGCTTGTAAGGTATAGGGTGCGATTACGATTGTTTATTTTGTTTTGTTTGTTTGTTTGTTTGTTTAAAATGTTACCACCATTATTTCTTTACCATGATTTTAGTTTATTATCATTATTTATTTCATTTTAATTTTATCATCATTATTTTTTTATCATGATTTTATTGCCTTAGCAAGCCAGCCAGCCATTGATCACTCCCATCCCCGCTCTATATATTAACCTCTCTTCAGGAAAGCGAAGGCGCTAGAGAGCTTTATTACCACCAACCCTTGAAATGCAAAACGATAATGCCAAATTCAAAGCATAATTTATTAATTTAAGTTGTTTCCGTACAGTGATACGAACACTGATTTCTACATGTTATTTCTCTTTCTCGTGTAAACAGAAAATGTTTCAGGATGAAGACGAAAGAGGAAACAAACTACTGACACCACTTGCTGGGATATTTGTGTCTAAAAGCAATAAAGACATCAAAATTGAACTCAGTAAACTGGAGCCTGGATGGAAAATCAAAGGAAGCAATGTAAAGGTGCGAATAAGGAACTCTGTTGTTAACAGTCTGGTCTCCTTAGTGATATAGTATTGATTAAAACCCACGTGGCGTTTTATCTGCGACAGGTTTGGATAAGTTGGTAGGGCTGTCAGAGTCATATGTCTAGAGCGAAAAAATTCGGGCCCGATTCTCAAGACAATACCACTACTTAGGGTTTCTTTGTTGTTGATGTTGTTGTTTGTTTGTCGAAATACGATGTTGCCCTTTCCAAGGCGAGGATTCCGTGTAGTTTGGATGTCACATACATAAAAGCGAAAAAACCAGTGCCCTAAGTTACATGTAGCTGTTTGGTGATAATAGATCAACACTTAACCAAAGCGAGAATTTCATTAGTGAAAAGAATCCCTGCCTCTCGAGGCTATGGAGGTCTGAGTTCTAAAGTAATAAAAACTGGGCTTGGCTCTAACCACTACCTGTTCGTCATGTTGCTTATATTTAAGTAATTAAAGGGGCTGTGTCACGGCAGTCCAGTTCATTTTGTTTAATTTTGCCAATTACTCGTCCTCAATCGCCATGGAACTTAAAGTAAGCAAAGAAATTACATGTAAATGACAAAATCAGAGATCCGAGACAAACAAATATGTCTCCTGAGCATTATTTTTGAAGTTGCAAGCAGTAGGGATCAACTTTGAAAAACTGTAAGGCTGAACAGTTTTCGAAAACCCTAATTTCATTCCGTTTCAATCTTCTTCAGTTTTGCCCATCCGTGGCATCTGTTCTTTCTGTTATGTTATTTTAACTTTCAGTAAAGTTTTAAGCGGTTATTTTTATGTTTCCCTTAATTTAACGGGCATTTTGTAATTTCCTAATGTGGCTGAATTTCGAGACACACCTTCTTTAATCAATAAAGTGATCAAGCTAAGTTAATCTTTGTTTTTATGCTTTTGTTTTTGTTTTGTTTTTAATGATTTGCATTTCAATTTTCTTTTTAGACAATCAAATCAACTCATGCATGGAATTCGTCAGGAAACTCCGTAGACTTTCCACGCGGCTATTTCGAAATAAGTCACGTGAATAGTACCAAGCATTCATTCTTCTGTGGAATAGAAGCTTCTCACGAAGGAGACAGTGCACACGCAGAAGTTGTAGCGTGTTTTGAACGAGTGAGTGCTGACACAAAAAATACTCTTGTATTACATTATTAATCTTTCTTCTGTTGCTCTTCGCAGAAGAAAAATATTAATTTATCGTGCTTATGATCATATTCAAGTCTCCTTAATTGCTGGATTTTTCCATATTTATTTTGTAGGAAAGTGGTCAGAAAATCGTCCAACCCTCTAACAATTCTCGCAAACTGAGTAATACGTGGAACTTTGTTTCAAAAGGTAAGCTTCGATTAGACTGTACGAAAAAAAAATGTCCGGTCACTTTGAAGTACGATGCAACTCAGAGACCAGTAGCATTTAAAACAAAGGACTCTTCTTAATACATAGCTCGTTTAACCTGTATAATGAATTTTCATATTGTATTTCTGGGCTTCATACATTTTTTTTTTAATATCACCGCTCAATATTTCTTTCTTTCTTTTTTCTTACAGAGACTAAAACCATGTTTCCATTACATGAAGTTTTCACTCTGCTTTATGCACTTTTTGCTTGGCGCTTCAATACCACACACGTTACAGGTAAGCTTGCTTTATAAATTTCAGTATAAGTTTGGTTTGCTGACATTGTTTGCATGTTTTTAAAAAGATAATGACAGTAGTATAAGTAAACTTTTCAAAAACTTGAAAATCGTTTACATGCGTAAAATGAATAAGCATCAAATCTAGTATATAACTGCAAATACGTTTCCTTTCATTTCACTTACAGCAAGCATAATAATCTCACAATCTTTGTTTTAAATTTTAACAGGATCAAATTCAACTTATCAGCAATTTACGACAAAGAAGGATTTACAAGATCTTACCAATTCCAAACCGCCTGACAACTTCCCTTCCACTGGAATGCCTCGTTCCGGGGCGCTGGTAAAGCGCAGGAAAGCAGGATTCGCCAGCTGTGGTCCAACTGTCCAACAAGACCACCCGCACTGTGCAACTGCAAGAAAGCCGAACGCCTCGGAACGAGGAAATACAATACAAATATTCCAAAAACAACGTTCACAAGAAGTCTACTAGAAGAGTAAACAAGAAACAAGAAAAAAGCCGATTAGAAAAGAAAGAAAGAAAGAAAAATAATAATCATCAATTAAGGTCAATGAAGAATAGCTTAAGTATTCATTGTTCAACTGAGCTACACCTTACAGCAATCAAATTATAAACTGGTTATTCTCACAATTTCCTCATTAAACTACAAGTACCAAACTTCATTTAATTTTTCCTAAGAGACGGTGACTCGCTTAGATTTATTTATTTTTGTTTCTATTTTTACTGACCGCTTACTATGCTGTTTGTTGTTGAGCGAAATTTAGCTGAAACGCTTTTGATCTGGCTCTATTGCGTTCATCAACATTCAACATGTTTCGAGGTAGTTTCAACATTAAGTGATTGCAAATAATCAGTCAAATTCCTATTTAGAGGTAGCAGTCATTTTGATAACCGCAAATGTGTTCTTTTTATTTATGGCACCTTTCATGGTAAAGTTTGAAAGTACAAAAAATTCAAGTCGTACCATAGTCTACAGTGAGCAAATAAAAACCCAAAATTTTAGAGAACAAAAATTGGCTTTTTTGTTGTTGTTACCAATATGTACATACGTACCGCAATGTATTCATGTATACGCGTTGGTGCTGTTTTGTTCTTGTGTTGCTTTCGTTTTGCTTTTTTCATTGTTTTTGTGGATTAGTGGTCCATGCGAAATTTGATAGCACTGTTTTTCTGTACACGTGTGGACGGAAGAAAAGGAAATTTTCGAGGACAATGACGTGACAGTGAAAGAGCTGTTCGACCAGAAAATCTATCCTGAGTCTTGCTATGAATGCGTGTGTTCATCTCACTTTTTTCTGAAACAATGACTGTTCAGATTGCAAAATCCCCCAAAAGAAGTCACTTGTTTAACCTTCAGGACAGCTCTTTCGGCCACCATGTAAATGTGTCGTAACTCAAAAGGTTAGAAGTTCAAGCTTACTATATCAAAAAACGAAGAAACCTTTTGAAGTGAGAATGTCATGTCTGACTATTAGTTTTTAGCTGCTCTAATAGTTAATAAAAGTAAAGACTCAGAAGGATCGATAATTCTCCTGCTGGATTTTTTGATGGCGTCATGAGAAAGCGAGCTAAATTAGAGTTGAAAATGATTGGTTGGATTTTGGCAAAGTAGAGGAGACTGGTTATGAGAGCCGGCAAACATCAAAGTTGAAAACAACGATGCTGTATTTCATGTTGGAAGCTCCCTGACCGTGTACAATCCTTTGTTTTTTCGATGTTTCTATCGGACAGTAAATTCAAAATGATAGGAATGCTCTTGAACGTTGTGCACGGTCAAGTCCAAAAGAGGTAACAAAAACATACACTAAACAGTCTAACGGTTTTAATAACCATTCCACTTTAATGACTATGATCGTGCTCTTTGACTTAAAGGATAGGGTTTGCATGATTTTTCAAAATTATTATTTAAAATGGTTTCGTGCCCGAAAAAGTTATTGAACTTTAATCAAACAAGCGCCTCTTAGAAGAACTTGTCTTTTCTTGTCGAGGGATTTCTGTTCCCCCCTAAAGAGCCAACCCTTTTTAAATACCGATTCGTTCAAGTTTGGATGTGTACAAGGTTTTGTAGAAATACAGCCTTTGAAGACCGCCAACGGTACAAGTCACGTGGATAGAATTGCAATTCTGGGTCACAAACAATGCAAACAATTTATTGCACTTCTATAACCCTGATAATCCTTCAAGTTTCATACCATCAGATATTTAGATAATTCTTGCACATTGAAAATTTATAAAAAAAAAAGTCATAAAAAAGTAAATAGTGAGCGTTGCAAAATAAATTCCCAAAATTGATCAAAATACTAAATTAACCATTCAACCCCACCGCTTAACTGAATAGATCATATCAACGCAATGATATGTAGATTCCCGTTTCCATAACCAACAACAGCTGATTTTCCATTCTATGAAAAATTTACCGCTGTAGTTTCGGTATAATTAACAGTAAAAATGCCTAATCCTCCGTTAGTTTTCACATTCTGGACAATCATAACTCTCTCGTAAACCCCAGATGCAACACTTTTTTCAAAAATTCATAACAATGTAGATAAAGCAAAATCAATACTCAAAGAAGAAATCTGTATTAACCTCTAACCCCTAACCCTAAATCTAAAATCTGTATGTCTCGAACTTAAAAAAAAGAAAGAAATATCAACGAGACACAGTCAAAACTGCATTCAATAGGACCGAAATTAAAGTGGAAGCTTGTGACCGATTTTGATAAAACAAACGGTTAGGTTTCCCAAGAAGTACAGTAAACAAGTGATGCCGATCAAAAGTTAAAAATTGTTACAGCACTCAAGTTCTGGCTAAAAGAAAATTCCTGTAAAAGATGCGTTACAATGTTAGTCCACGCAAAAACCAGAAGTTCTACAATTTTCCGATAAACGAACTTTGTATCGGTAAAATACTTAAGGGAACAACTTTCTATTCCAACTAGTAACGGCGTGGTAGTCGCCCGCTGATGGTTATTAATCCACTCCCGAAATATGGCTAAATCAGCTATCCACAAATTATTGACAGAAATCCTCCACGTTATCGAGAAACTAATTTGCATCTGATTTATACACAAACACTAAATAAAGAACATTCTGCTCAATAGCTTCTCATTAGAAATGCATTCTATGCCAAACTTTGCGGTACTTGAAGGGGAATCAAGACACCAGCCATGTTCGTGTCAGACATCCTTGAGAAACGTGCTCTTTCAAGTCGTTCAGCACATCAGTCTTCACTTTAAATCACCGTAATCTTTACTTATTTTGTACACGAAGGTCTTTCCTAAGTGTCTGCTACTATTTGAATCTCAAGCAAGCTTTCAAAGTGAAGAATTTTGTCCCTATGACTATGCACCATAGTCGCTGTCACTAGTCGCGTGCTCTTTATCTAGGTCTTAGTGCGCATGCTCATGCAAAAAATGCCCCTGTTGTAACCTGTAGATGCGAGAAATTTTGGTAATCCCGTGACCGTCTGTACGTCAGTACGTCCACCCCCATATGTAAGTCGGTATGAAATTTCTCATTCAAGCATCTGTGTGTTTTGGCGGTAAATTGCATATCCACCCGGACGTTTAGAGAGAAAAAGTACAAGAGAGGCGAGTCTTTTTTCGTCTAAATTTTAATTATGTCTGTCTATACTAACTTGGATAACAGAGAAAGAGCTAAAGCGAGAAACAAGAAACAAAGGAGACTTATCTTGTTGCAAGAATAACACAAGAATTTTATAACGGTGGTGATAAAATGAGAAATGCTAGCGACCAGCAGGATGAAAATGGGTGGCAGTGAAGAAAAAAGTGAACAGGAACACAAGCAAGAGAATCATAGACCCACACCATCGCCCAGAATGACGCGACATATTAGGGAACTTTAAGAGCACTCCGAGAGCCAAATTTGAACTATGATCAGCGAACCGACGCCAAAAGAAAAAACGGACAAAACTGTTCAGAGTGGCTGACGTTTTTCACGTTTTTATTAGTGTCGTGCAGTATATGGATTTTGTAGACCCTGTAGAAGTTCTGGCTTTTTCGCATTGAAAATCGGCTACTTTAGTAACTTTTTTGTATGAGAGGTCACGTTTGAGGCTAAATATTTGTTGGGCAAGTCACTTTAGTCATGTGTCAGCATATGGATATGTTAGTCTGACTATTAAGGAAGACACTCCGAACGTTTGGTACGATTACATTGTTTGGAAGTTCTGGCTTTTCGTCAATTTCTAAAAGTACTCCTGTTCGTTTAAGTTCGTAAATCTCGAGGACACGGTCGACTTGGTTTGAAACTCCTGCCTGCATATTAATGTTTTGATCAATTGAAACGGATTGAAATGTTAATAATTATCTCATACACTGTCCCTCAGTTGTCCCTGAGGAGTTTAAAAAGATGCGGCTTTTGCCTTTTGAAGGAGCTCTCTCACGCTAGAGAGAAGCGCGCGCAGCGGAGCATCATGAGTAAGAAAATTTGGTTATCTATGCATGCGTAGGTACGTCCACCCCTTCATGTAAGCAGGGGTGAAATTTTGCATTTCAAGAACCAGCGCGTTTCGGCGGTAAATCGCATAGCCACCCGGACTTTTAGAGATAAAAAAAACAACAACAACAACAATGCCAATTCTTAATAATAATAATAATAATAGTAATAATAATAATAGTAATAATAATAATAGTAATAATAATAATAGTAATAATATTTAAGATTCATATTGCGCATTTTTTCTGCGGAGCGACCGTAGGGAGAGAGCAGCAACATAATCAGGATTTAAGGGAAATATATAAGGGGCGACGAATTCTCGAATTCATCACTTTTCACCACAATGCATTGCATTTAGCCACACTTTTTTCCACAATGCATTGCATTTAATCAGAGTGCATTGCGCCACGAACAACTCAAAAAAAACACGGGGAAGTTCGCATCGTTCGCTGCCCAGACTCAGAGTTTTCTTTGTAGCTAATTTTCTACAGCACGGTTAGAGGTCTTACCAACTTTAAGACACGCAGGAGTCTTTCAGATAGATGAGTACGATGGTTAACTTGGGGATTGGATTTCAATTCAAGAACCTTTGACTCGTCCAGGTGTTAAAACTTACGAGAAGATGAGCATTTTTGCTCTTCGACTCCGCAACACGGATGATATACAAATTCCAGCTTGCTAGAAGGTGATGTGAAAGTGAGAAAATGTCATGCCATGCTATTCTTAAGGACCTGTATGAGCCGAAAGTGGGTGTGATTTTGACCATTCGCTTCAAAATAACAGCGGAAATAGAGATAAAAAAACATACCGGTATGTTTTGTGTCCTACGTTGCAGACGAGAACGTGTATCGGCGTTTTGAGAAGCATAATTGCGTTCTTTCATTCATTCATTGCCATGGAATATGCGTTGACATTGTTTTTGTTACTGTTAATAGCTCGATTAATGCGGCTGGCGATCATCTTGCCGGCGGAAGTTTCATAAAAAACGCAGTAAATTAAAGCCTTTTCCCAAGATTACGTAATCAGTCTCTGTGGTTTACGTAGTGGTTCGGTGTAGTCGCGTCGAGCCGATGGTGCCGGGTTCGACTCCTACCAAACTCTTTTTTTCCATCTTTCTTTTTTTTTTTCCGTTTTTTGTGTGGTTGTTTTCTATAAATATATAGCCAAATAACTGTTACTTAATAAAGTGCAATAAACAGCAAGAAAAGTATCGTGTTTCCAGAGAAAAGATAGTACACCATATAATAAATATATGGATAAACAATCTGAATTTCTATCAGTTCCTACCATTTACTGTGGGAAAACCAGAGTTGATAACCACTTGGTCATTTTCTAAACAATGTTTCCACTAGTTCTTTCTATAGACTGATAGTAATTATTCTAGTACTTTCCAACATGCAAGCAGGACATTCAATGTCACTTTCGATTCTTTTAAGTCCCACTGCCTGACTAATGCCAGCATCAACAGAATGTGCCGCAGCATTACTATCTTTTAGATACCCTAGTCTATAAAAATAATCAAATGCGCATATGGGCGTGGAACGTTTTTCTTTCGACCTAATTTTAATGTCTACATTCATGTGGTTAACACAGAAAAAAGGAGACCAATTTCGTTGCAAGAATTATTTTAAAATTTTATACCGGCGGAGCGAAAATGAGAAGTGCTAGAGGCCTCCAAGGTGAAAATGGGTGGCAGCGAAAATAAAAAGTTAACAGGAACACATACAGGTTAACCAACTCGGGGATTTCAAAGGGAAATGTCATATAACCAAGAGAGAAATCCGCGAACAACGCATGGAGTGCCGGCAGAAACCAGTTGATTAAAACAGCTTGTCTTTAATATGAGCTGCTTTGAGCTGTTTACGAAACTGAAACGCAACGATGAAACAAAAGCAAGTGCTCCGCTCATTTCTTTTGCTATTTGAGGACTATTTCTTTGGCCGTTTCTTGCAGTCATTCCAACGACTATCATGTAACGCGGGACCCGCACTTGGCACCTAGAGATTTACAATTGTGATTTTGGTTGCTTTCGCTGTAGCCAAACGTTTCTCAGATTTAGATAATCCAGACTGTTTCGATTTTCCTGCTAGCCGGAACAAACATCTGAAATAAGATTGATCCATACAGTAGCTGCCTGATGCTCTGTTCTGCTCAATTTCAACACATCGTTTTTTATGTCTTTCCGCTAAATTAAGCGTTTTCTCTTGGAGGGATGGAAAGAAAAATTGCTCTTTAACTAGTGGTGGCTCATACTGAGAATCGTCAACTTAAAATTAACTGGAATTTGATTCAAGAAACTTCAGCGACAATTGCGAATTCTCAAGTGCTGAGAAGGGCGTTCTAAACACACACACACACACACCCACACACACGTTGGACACTGTAGTTTTACGGTGAGAAAATGCAAGCGTTTTCGCTTCCCTGTTGATTTAGAGTTACAGGGGAACTCGAGTTTAATATACTACAATCCTTTAGGGGCATAGAACAAAGGAGGGGTGTAGATAACTTTTGCCCGAACTAAACTTGAACCGCCGTGTTTATTGATGAACGAGCACGATGTTGCAATCGAAAAGCAGTTTCGTTAAATGGTATAAAAATCTGAAACCAGATTGAGACACCAATCTGAACGATCCAAGTGCGGAGGTGGATCGTTCAAATTGCAATCTTAGATTGGTTTAGTCCTTAGTGGGACGAAAAAACAAATTTTGGATCGCAAAATCCGGATTTCGATTGGTCAAGAGGAATGCAACTTTAAACTTCACTAGCTCATCAAACCGTTTGATTGACAGCTACCGATTCTTTTACGACAGTAGTCGGTATTTAGCTGGCTTTCCGAAGCCATTATACACCGTACCTTTCGTTGGTCAAGAGCTAGTACCTGTAACTTCCGCCAAGGACTTTAGCGTCACACTTGACTCGAAATTGACCTTCAATATAATGGCCATATCGCCTCACTAGCGTCCTCTCTTTTGTCAACGTTATTTCAAATAAATAGGGTATGACACTTGTTCTCTAAACATGTACCGTACATAATCTTAAATTCTGTGGTATTTGGCAAACTGTTCTATTACTCGACCGTATGATCTGGAACGTCTAAAGAAAACATTCATAAACTAAAAATTGTGCAAAACTTTGCTGGCCGTATACTTTCTAACACAAAAATGTTTGATCACATTACACCAGTCTTACATGAACTTGGTTTGCTCACCACAGAAGAGCTACTATGCTTACGTGGTGTACCTATAATCTTTAAATTTCTCAGTGGTCTTTGCGCCCAACTACTTAAGTACTAACATACTAAGTTTGTAAAACGCCCAGAAACTCACTCGCATTGCACTAGACAGAACCTCCCTCAGTGCCGAACCTCCGCCGTTTCGTGGTGTCTCAATATTGGAACAGTCTTCCTAATGATATTAGAAACTCTGCCTCTATTGAGGTTTTTAAAAGGTGTGCCAGACTTGAGATAATCAGAAGGCGGAAATAGAGTATTTACCCATAGTTTGTTGATCTTTTTAATTAATTGCTTATTAGCTTTTTATTTTTTTATAATTGTAGTTCTAGCTGGCATTCAAATTTAATTATCTTTTATACATTTTTAGAGAGTAGTTAAGTGTAAAATTTCAATGTTCGGTGGCCTGAATAATATACTAGAAGTTCTGTAAGTTCTTATAAACAAAAAATAAAAACACGTTCAGCTGCGTTTCAAGATGCTTTCGACATTTAGAAATAGAAATAATAAACATTTACGACATTTACCTACTGGACAGGGAAGTCGTCATGTGACAGTAAATGGAAACGACCAGTTAGTTACTCAAATGATAGTATCTCTTTCTTTACAGGCTTCCAAACAAATGAAAATAGACAACTAACATTCAGGATAATCGTGCTGTGTAACGCCGATAAGCTTTATTGGAAAACCATATTGGGCCCAAAACATTAAACAATACACCATGAATAAATTATGGGAGTTTTGGATACGTGTCTATCAAAGAACACTAGGAGGCCAGGAAAAACCTAGCCGACGCCGTAGTCGCACCTCTCCCCCCCTCTCTATTTTTCCTTTGTCGGGGGGAGGGTGCCGCTACACGTAGGCTAGGAAAAACCCAACAAAAAACCCGCAAAAGGGCGGGAAAAAAATATGGGAAACCTGGGTCCGAACCAAGCCCAAAACTCCACGACCCTTTCTACGATGTCATAAAAAGATTATAATTACAACATCAAGTTAAGCTTTTAAACATACATAGATTTTAGCGGTAACGACTGATAATAACTTAGATGCCACACACCCACACTACAATCCCTCGTCGAAAAACCTGAATACATGAGGTAAATCAAACAGAAGTCAATTATCTTCTAATACCACGCAACCCAAAGGAATTTCCAGTAACAAATCAATTCAGTGAACTGCTAAATCGCTTTAACACAGCAAGCAAAGAAAAACTTAATGACCATCTTTTAATAATGCGAAATACTGATTGATTAGAATTTTTTTTACAATATTAGATACCAAATAGAAGACGGCTTTCTATACAGACTCCAATGTCTTTTTTACCTGAAAGAAGAAAGACAAATCCCAACATTCAACATGACATTTTTCATTTCTTTTCCTTTTCATTCCTTTCTTTTCTTGTTAAATCTTTTCTATCTTCTTTTTTTTTCCTCGGGGGAGGGGGTAATTCTGCTCGATGTCCACTTTATTAAGGTTCACGGGTTTCTTCTTTCCTTTCTTTTGTAAAACCACCCTCTTTTTGGTTGTAATCGGTAGGCTACATACGTTTTATTAAAAATGATAATTATTTACAAGCATACTGAAATTTATACTTCGCGTCAAATAAGTACGTGTAAATGGTGAGGAGTGACCATTTGATTAGCTAATTATATCATGGGTGGCAAATTAAGCTCACAATCATTGTTCATCGAACTGATCATTTATCGAGAACTCAACGCAATGAACACTTTATAGCTTAAATTTTAGCTTAAGTTCATATTAAATTTTCAGAATTTCTCGACAAAATACCTTCTTATAGAATCCTTCTTGATGTGCTCTTTAGTGTGTTTAGGTCTTCTAAAGTGTCTTTTAATAACCTGATATCTTCATTCACGATATTTTACTAAACTTTGCCGCCACCTTGGCACTAACACGTACGGCAGGTAATTATAAATGGACGCTGACATTTCGCGCCAAAATTAAGGAGTAATTTGTCACCCATGATATTACGGAAAAACACTTTAAAAACCATTTCTACTCAGCTGACTTAAGCATCGGGAAACTTCGTTTTCAAATTTAATTATAAAGGTAACACCATGTCCTTATTTACATTTACCTTAATTTAAACCAAGGATAAAATTACACCACAACATTTAAGAAGTCATTTAAAACCAAGGCTTTTTTGTCACGTGGTCATAAGTTCGTCAGTTACTACACTCGCCTCGGCTGGTTCAAGGATAACAAGTTCGTTTTCAGCTGGAGGCTTCGTGTCGCTCTGGGGAAGCTAAAAAGATAAAAAAAGAAAGAAAAAAAGGTTCATCAGTTATGAAAAGAAACACTTCTTCCTCCCCTCTGCAGATTCCTCTTTGTGCTGGAGGTACTTCCTGCAATGTGATCATCATTAGCGAATGGATTTCAGACGCTCGACTCCTTGTTTAGAAGCAACACACCAGAAAAAATTTCAAACATCATTTTAGGCACACTCAATCGGTTTTCTGAAATCGGATCCAAATTTTCAAAGACCCATGGTTTTCTAAGTCCTTTTTTCCAGCCATCAAGGCGATAGAGCCATTTTCCCATAGAAAACGTTGACACGAATAACGGCCCTGAGTACAAAAGAAAAAAAAAACTATCGTTATACTTACCAGGGATAGTGGGACTTTTAACTGCTCTGTTTCCAAAACGATCTCTTTTCAGTGTTTTCATCGATTAGCTCGGCCTTTACTTTCATGAACGACGCATCGCTTGGTGGCAAAGTAAAAATCATTTTCTCAGGCAATCGCATCTCCTCAATCTTCCGTCTATCGACCTACCATGAATAATATCAGTATACGTTAAGGTCACTAAATAATCCCAATACGTGTGTAATTACGGAATGCCTATTACTATTAATTCGCGCACATATGCAACCATCGCCCTCCCATTTTAGAGTGCCTAACCAACCCAAATACGTTCCAAAAGACCAGTACAGTCGTAATCCAAATGAATAAGATCTTTCTTCTGTTCAAATGACCGAATCACTCGGACAATTTTATGTTGGCCTTGGCTGCTTTAAACTTATTTCATTTCAGTAGGAGGGGACATAAAAGAACCCAAAACATTGATCGAAATGAAGAGGAGAAGTAGATCACGATGTGACTGTCATGGTCTGTGTGACTTGTTACTTGTTCGATGCAGGTTTGTGAGGCGCGATAATAGTTTGAGGCGGTGGGAAGCTGCACATGTAAACGTCTGATCTCACCCCACTGATTTCTCCGCAATTCATGCAGCCATACCCTAAAAGAGCGGTGGAGGGAAACGTCCCAGTTATCTTTCTAGTAGGGTGATGACTGCTGCGGGCCCCAGGGGCTGTATGTTGGTCCACCTATCTAAAGGATAGGTAACCTTTTTCTGTTTGTCTTTCTTCATCCAGATGTGTAACCATATCTAATAACTAACTACTTGTGCTGCTCGGAATAAGTTTGAACTTGCATACTGGCCATAGTTTGGATCAAAATGCGCTTTGATTGTCCCATTTTTTATGAATTGCTTTTCGTAATAATAAGAAGATATTTCAATTTCACTTGTAGCTCAATCTGATTCTTAAGTAATCATATAAAAAAGGTTCAGACTCCGGATGTCTCCTCATAACGCTGGAGAAGTTCAGTAAAGTTTGTGTTATTGGATCCACTGATGCTTTGCTTGGCTTCCATAGAGTTCATTTTTGTTTTGTATTACCTTAACTATAAGTTCGCCCAAATTCAAAGGCTGCCAACATTTACCTGCGTATAGAAGTATTACCTTTTTGACTGCCTGAAAAGATCCCATCTCCAATTTCGCCACAAGAGTCCCTGGTCCCTGGATTTTTCTCCAGGAGAAATTGTTTGAATAGATTGTGATCATTGGCATCCTGATCTCTTCCTCCTAAGAAAGCAAGCGTTAAATCAACGCTTAGCAGTTAATTGGTGAGGAACCTTGGTTAAATGGGACAGACCTTACGTTTGAATGAATTATTTCAATGTAAAAAGGTGACTTGTGATAAAGGGGTCGATATAACTAAGAAGCTCAGTGAAGAATAACGTTGATGACAATGACAATAGCCAGTTTGTTTAGGCTGATGACGACTGATACTGATATGATTTTCATTCCTCCATCTGCATTTAACATTATGACGACGATAACCAATAATAAACAACAACCCACTCATGATGTGGACAATAGCTAGGGTGCGAACTCGGCTACATTCTTATACCATCCTAGTTCCCTGAGTAAGTTATGTACCTGCAGAAAGGTTCTTCTGTTTACACCAGCTCTCGTTACGTATAGAAAAATCTGCTTGTGGGATACATTGTTCTCATCCAGCTCTGATTGAACGTGGCTGAAGATATCGATATTATACCAGTCATCTTCAAACTCAGAATCTATGCATGTTGTTTGTTCAGCCACCGAGACATTGTCTAACATAGCTGCAGAAAAGGCTAGAGAAAAAAAGGGAAATACTATTACCCTGTATATCAGCAGAAAGTTGGCATTTAACGTAAGAGAAGCTAAAAACGATTCACAAAATAAAGAGGGGTTTCATTTTTTGATGTGGCACGGACGCTAAATTTTTGACATCTTTCTTTGTCATTGATACGTATTAACACTGAAGTTACACATTTACTTGCCGCTCACCCTACAGGCCATAGAAATGCTGAGAGGATTCGTGGCCTAAACCTTAATTAGTAAAGACTAAATTCCCTTGCTCTTTACATTAAAAAACCCGCTACAAAACGGTTTCTGAGCTTACGATGTCAGACTAAAAAAGACCAATGCATGGCTTTAGCTTTGCCTTCCAAGGACGCCATTTGCTGAAGCGGCTACAAGGTTATTAGCAGAGCCAGTATGATCATGATTTTATCGTTGTTTTCTGCTGGACCACAGACAAAACTGCAAAACAGAACAACTGTTTAACAACACCATCACTGGCATCATAGCTTGAAAGACAAATAACTTCTTATACTAAGTGTACCTTCGTTTATAGGTCGTTGTTAAGTGATATTAATCGCTGATAAAAATGATAGGTAATTGATTGATAAAAAGCCTCAGAGAAACATAAATGGATACATTAATGAATGAAAGGGAGAGTACGACCACCAACGGGCCATGAAAATTTTGGGACAGATTTCGCGAGCATTCTATTTTTTCATCTGACAGATGTACCAAGGCCTTTCTGAAATTGGCCACATGCCACGGGCACGCTCAAAGCAAGGCACTTAGACATTTCTTAACAAAACTATTAATAAAAAGCCTCAGAGAAAACATAAATGGATACATTAATGAATGTTCACAAAAAAGAGCAGGAAAGATATGTGAAAAATGTAATAATTTGGCGGATGTAAAACAAGGTAAGACAATTTTCATGACCATTTGGTTTGCGTGGTCACGGGGTAAAATTATAAAGGATTATACAGGTGGGGATTTATGTGGTTTTGAATATACAATTATTGAGCTAATGAAAATGTAATACTTTGGGGTGTTCAACAAAAATTCAATTATTGAGCTAATTTTCAAAAATTCATTTTCTTACAAACGCGCATATATATGCGCACAAAAAAGCCCATATATATGCGTTACAAACAAGCATGTGGTATATGCGGTCGCAGAAATTCGCCGTATAAGAGGCACCGAATTATACCGTCAGCAAAAAACCCCTTCATGTACGATGGCGCTGAAAAGTAACTTCAGTTTGAATCAAGCATGGCCGCAATGGCCGCGTTAATTTCGAGCAAAATTTGGTCCTTATACATTGCCCTCACAGTAGTGGTGGTTCAAGATCGTTATTCACTTTTACTGGCTTAAAAAAAAAAAAAAAAAAAAAAAAGCTGCGCGACGAATAATACAGGCCGTAAAGAACAATACATTCCCCATAGTCCATTAAATCACCGTCATCGTCAAAGTACGGAGGTATTTTAATGCCATAACAAAACTGGAACAAGACAAACGTCTTTGAAAAGATGACGTCATCGTCTGTCTGGGAAGCACTGCTTAAAACTTCGTTTTCCCGCTGAAAACGAAAACCCTTGGCCCAGTCTGCCTCGGTTGCCAAGCGTCGTCGTCATGCGTTTAGTTGTCGATACTTAAGGTCCCTAGTAGATATACATTACGATGCGTTCTTGCAGCTTGAACACACGAGAGGTAAAAAAATGTATACAAAAAACCTGTTTAGGACTGTTATTGGTTAAGTGTACTGAAGGGTTTTCGATCATTTAAGACGGTGCGGTGTATCATTCCTTTCTCAGCTATTAAGAGAAAATAAAAATGGATTAAGTGTGTGAGACGGACCATCAGTTTTCATGGGAGTTGTGTAAATTTTTAATGTTCGGCGCCATCTTAGATCGAGAAAACAACTTCCTTATTAACCAAAGTCAAGAAGTTCACCTCAATCGACCCAAAACGCAGCTTTAAAATGTCGGAATGAGATACTCTCTCGGTAACAGTTGCTTTGGGAAGGGAAGAAATGGAACAGTTTTGAAAAATGGAAACGATGGGATTGCATCAGTCAGATATTCAGTTCTGTTCTCAACAACAGCCTTCCACCCCAATAATTAGCGACAAAATTTCTGGTTAATTATATCTGAAGTTGAAGTTGAAGTTTATTGATTCATATATACATACCGCATTAGCAGTTCGAAAACTGAATTGAGCATTTACGTTACAAAAATTAAATTATGGATCTAAACATTAACTAATTTATCTTAATTGAAAGGAATAAAAAAGCTAACAAGAGATGAGATGCGAAATTCGAAAACTCTAAAATAAAGCTATTCATTAAAACAGTCGGTTTTAAAATGTGGCATGTTAAAAGGTCGCGCGCCAGTGGAAAAGTAGATTCGTGCTATACAGGTAATAACTTATAAAGGCGATGGTTGTTGTCATTTACAATTGTGTGAAAAAATGCAATGCAAACTGGTATAGTAATAGTAATGGTATAGTCATTGATAGAGTACCTAGTTATAAACTCTTAGGGGTTATTATCTCTAATGACCTCTCTTGGAACGAACACTGTGACAGTATCCATAAAAAAGCTACTAAGCGATTGTTTGTGCTGGGGACCCTCAAGAGAGTTGGACTGGGCACTAACGATCTCGTGTTAGTCTACTGTAGTATTGTTAGATCCGTTGTTGAGTACGCCTCGCCAGTTTGGGCTGCGATCCCTTTATATCTTAATTGAGTCTGTACAGCGGAAAGCCCTCAAAATAATATTTGGCCGGGTAGACTATGCGGAAGCCTTGGTCTTGGCCGGCCTGGAGTCTCTTAGTGACAGGAGAGAAGGAGCTTGTAAGCGGTTTATGGCTACTGCACGCCAAATGTCCCCCCTTAAGAACATCATCCCCTGTCCTGCAGCTTTTGAGTCTCACTACAGTATGAGGGTCCAACTTCCAAGACGTCAACGTGGTCATACCAGAAGAATTAATGACTTTGTAACTTATAAATTTCAGTGAATGTATGCAAATGGTTAATTGTATGTGACAATGACCTTCCCCAACAATTCAGTTATTGCTGCAAGTGGTTGAAATAAACAGAGTATCTAAACTCTATCTATCTATCTATCTAAACTCATATTTCGTCACGGTGTCTTGCTTATTCCTTAAAGTTCATAATAACACGAGCCTCATGATTATCCTGGTGAGCTGCTACTTCTACATACAATGTTCACAATGTCCAATAATACACCTCCATCAGGAGATAGGCTCTCGACATCGTGAATAAAATGACGGAGATTTGGATACGCATATAAAAGGTACTCAAAAAAGGGGCGGGTTAAATGCAGGAAACCTGGGAACGAACTATGCTAAAAAATCCGCGAGCCTTAAAGAAATGGTTAATGATAAGATTGAGTTACATGTAAACTTTCACGTAGTGTCATAACGGCCACGAATGATTTGATCCCTATATTAACAAAACTTAAAAAAATAGAGTCTAATAAAATTCCTCTTTACTCACTTTAATTACACAAGCGCTTGCCGAATACCTCTGAAACTAATTGCACTGGTATTATCTCCGTTCGTATTTACACTTGTGCCAAAGTATTTACAGGCGGGAAATGAATTTGCACCAAGGAGCCGCAACATTTAGAAGACTTAGAGAGTCATGTAAAACCTATACTTGTCGTCACGTGCTTGTAACTTCATCGGCAGTTACTGTACTGGACTCGGCTGGTCCACGGATAACAAGTTCGTGTTCAACTGCAGGCTTCGTGTCTATCTGGGGTAGCTAAAATGATTAAAAACAAAAAAAAGTTTATTATGATACGAAACACCTCTCTCCTCTGCAGAGCCCTACATGTTCTTCTTCCTGGCTCCACATGTGATTATCGTTAACGAATAGCTTTTAGGCGTCCATTACTCCTTGTTTGGAAACAACAAACAGAAATGAGCTCGAGATTTCAAACATCATCTTGAGTACTTCTAATCTAGTTTTCGAAATCGGATGTTAATTTTTAAAGACCCTTAGCTTTCTAGGTCCTCTTTTACGGCACAAGTGAAAGCACCATTCCCTAATAGAAACACAGACGAAAACAACGGCCTTGTAAAAAAAAAAAAAAGAAAAAAACTACTGATTAAAATTACTTACCAAGGACAGTGGGACGTGTAACTGCTCTGTTTCCAAAAGGATCTCATTATCACTGTTTTCATCGATTAGCTTGGCTTTTACTTTCATGAACGATGCGTCAGATGGTGGCAGAGTAAAGGTTATTTTCTCAGGTAGTCTCATCTCCTCTATCTTCCTTCTATCAACCTGCATAAGATAATAGTAGATGTTCATGTTACTTTCTGAAAGGGACGATAAAGGCGCGCCTGTGAGTTCTAAGTGCTTATCTACATGTATATACACTGTCTTAAGAGAGGGTCTGAATGGGGGGTCCACTTGTCGGTTGTCGGTTAAAATTCAGTAATTTTGTCGGTAGTCGGTTAAAATTTTCGATCTTTGTCGGTAGTCGGTTAAACTTTTCGATTTTCGCCGGTTGTCGGAAAATCTCAGTTAATAAGTAAAAACGCTTGTTAATTATTGATATTTTTATGTATTTCACCCACTTTTCAAGACTTTGATCCCTGAGGAAAGAGTAAAACTTGCAAGAATGCATCATTTGATTGCGCCTAAACCGTTCATTAACTCTTGTTTTTTATGAAACGTGAACGTTTATTCCATCCTTGTTTGCAATTAAATGAATAATTAGTACTGACAAAATCACCCAAGCTTTTATTGTAAATGCGAACTTGGTTTCCCTGTCGACTACAGGGCACAGTAAAAAGTAATTAATGAATTACTTACTGGACTCTAGCCTTTTGGATACTTAAATTATTTTTATTGAAAAACTGCAAGGGATGACAGGCTGCACATCTATCCCTCTCATGTTTTGGTTCTAACAAGCATGTCCTTTGCCATAATTTTCCTTTCTCAAAGAAATAGCACTTTAGGTGGTTCTTTAAAATTTTGGCAAGGTAGTGGTTGGTTTTGTATGAGATTCCACTTTTTTCATTAAAGCTTCTTTTTTATAGACACTAAGGGCTGGTATTGTGTCACGAAAGGCAATAATTTCAGTCTTTTTCTTCCTGGTTGTTTATTTTTTTCAGGAGCGCTGCCTTCCTTTCTGTGAGTTTTACTTCTAATAGCAATTTTTCTTTCAAAATTGTGTGGTTAGCCTCTGTCCATCAAGCGCTTTTGAAATCTGAAATACTTCCTCAGAGGAGATTGTTCCTAGGATTCTCAAGGCTTCTCGTTTGTCAAACAGGCGCTTTAACAATTGGTGGATGATAAGAGGTGAAAATGTATATACTGTAAGGTTTCCGTTTCAAATGCGTCTTTACGTCAAGGATAGCTTTTTCTCATTTTCGTCGCTGAATGTTGTACCTTGGTATACAACCGTTTCTAAAAAGAATGTCTCATTTTCAGATCTTTCGGCCGTGAATTTCATAGGAGGGCACCTACGATGTCTGGTTTACTTATGTCCCATTGGGAAAAAATGTCATTTATGTAGCGTTTTCAAACAGTTGGTTTAAAGACGGTTTTGCTTAAACTTTGTGTTTCAATATGTGCCATGAAAATGTAGGAAAGGAAACTGCTGTCTTTGTGCTCATCGCGGTAACGTGGGTTTGTACTGATAGTTCTTTACATTAAACGAGAAAGAATTTTCTTTGAGGATTAATCTAAGCAAAAAACGTTCGGTTTTTCACTTTGACTTTTCAACAAAATTTATAAAGTCGGTAGCATCTTTAAGGTGTGACTTTGTGATTTTGATATTGACTGTAGTAATGTACCTGTATCAACAACAAAAAAAGGAAATTCTTTCCCTTAGGCCATCTGACGAGTCATAAATTTAAAGAGGTTACTTACTTCCTCGAGCTATATAACGGTTAGATTAAATACAAAATGCTCTTTTTTCTGGAAACAAATATTGATAATATCAGCCCATGTCGGTAGTCGGTTGATATTTTCCTGTCGGTAGTCGGTAATTTTTTACTCATTTTGTCGGTAGTCAGTAATATTTTTCGCCCTTTGTCGCTAGTCGGTTAACCCCATTCACACCCTCTTAAGAACATGAACTGAAAACGTTTTTTATTTTTGTCTGTCTCCATCCACCGATGTGTATTAATAACTAACAACTAACTATATGTGCTGCTCCAGATCAACCGTGTAAGTTTGAACTTGCAATTAAGTTTAATCCCACAGTTTGGATGAAAATGCGCTTTGATTTTCCCGTCTCTTTATTAATTACTTCTCGAAATAATGAAAGGATTTATAGATGGTTTTTAAAATTTCATATGCAATGCAAGCTGACTCTGAAGTTATCAATTAAAAGAGGTTTCAGACTTCTTGTCTCCAAAAAACGATGGCCGGGGATTTCCAAAGAAAATTTTATCAAATTTTGGTTTCTTGGCTACCACTAGTTTTGGGCAAAATCAAAGGCCGCCCACATTTATCTGGGGAGATAAGCATTACCTTTTTCACAGCTTGAAAAGATCCCATCTCCAATTTGGCAACAAGAGTCACTGATCCCTGCTTTTTTCTCCATGAGAAATTGTTTGAATAAACTGTTATCATTGGAATTCTGGACTTTTGCTCCTGAGAATAAGACAAATTTTAAATCAACACTTATCAGTAAAACTAAAGGTAAAGAAACTATTTCGGTTAACTGAGCATGGAATAGATCTTAAATATGAAATTATTTGGAAGATGTGCTTTTTTTAACTGAAAACACATTTGTTCTCGATGATAATCAATCAGAATATACCCCCTTTGCTGCTTTACAGATGCTTAGCCCTTTTTTTGATAAAATTTCAGATATTACGGAAACCTCTCTTTGAACAGAGTGTTTCTTCGACCTGGGGCGAAACGGCAAAAATTAGCTACGGCCTGTGGTAGGATAGCAAGTCGACAGACGTCAAAAGACCACAGTACAGTGAAGAGCGTAAGTACCTTAAAAATTGGTGCTACACAATGCATGAAGACAAAAAGAGATAGCAAGATTTGTGATTAGGGGTCAATGTAATAGGAAGCTAAAAAATAATGTTGATGGCGATGAAAATACCCAGTTTCTTTTATTAGCTGATGATGAATGATGCTGATATGATTCATAATTCCTTCATCAGCATGTCTCATTATGATGGAGATACAAAATTAATAACCCACCCATGACGTCGGCAATAGCAAGGGTGCGAACTCGGCTACATTATCCCATCCTAGAACCCTAAGAAAATTATGTACCTGTAGAAAGGTTCTTCTGTTTCCTCCAGCTCTAGTTACGTATAGAAAAAGCTGTTTGTGGGATTCATTGCCCTCATCAAGCTCTAGTTGAACGTGGCTGAAGATATCAATAGTGTACCAGGCATCTTCGGACTCAGAATCTTTACATGTTGTTTGTTCAGTCAGCGAGGCATTGTCTGACATGACCTCAGCTAAAGCTAGACAAAAGAGGGGAAAATATGTTAATCCCTTAAACAAAACTGCCAATAAATTCTCCCTTGGCAGTATCTTGGCGAAAGCCGCCCGTGGTGAAAAGATTTACAAGACAACGAAGGCTGCCACGAAAGGTAAAAACATGTAAATTTATGACATCTTTCCTTCTTATTGATTCGTATTAGCAGTGAGGTTTCTTCACTGTACTCGTTAGTCACCCCAACCATGCAAAGTTGAGGGGGCTCGAGGTATAACCCTAAGCAGACTAAAATTCATTTCCCTTGTAATGAACACCGGTTGCTTACGATATAACAAAAAGACCAATGCATGGCTTTAGCTTTGCCGTCCAAGGACGCCATCTTCTCCGTGACACGGTCATTAGCACAGCCAGCATGATAATATGATTTTATCGTGTAATTACTAGCACTCCCAGATGAAACTGCAATACAGAACAATTGTAACTTATAGTTAGTCTACCTTAATTAATCAAGAGGTCTTGGAAAATGTTGATCGCTAGCCGTTGTCGGTAGCGATTTCAGCACGGTAAATATGCCAGCAATATGTAAATATGGCGGTTAGAAGGTGGGAAAGACTTAAAGAACGACGTTCAATCGCATACCCAGGCCATTTTTGGCGACCTCATATTGATAGCCTCAGAGGACTCCCTCTATGAATAAATATGTACTGTATTAAAATTACATTGATCTGTCAGAAGTCACTTTGGCTCCTCCGTGAAGTTTTATTTGACGAGCACTTTACCCAGTTAAATGAATTAGCTAGGAGTGTGACACAGCCGGAAATAGTGATGTTTCCAGTGCTGTCAGTGTCTTCGTTAGAGTGAGTCAACTTATCTCAGTAAATCGTCTTGATATTACTCCCTCAGGAAGGTTACAAAACAATTAGATTTTCATTTTGATTTTGGCATATCAGTCCCAACAAAATGGTATTCTAATATGTAATTTGCGAACTAAAAACATTTTAAAAGGAATTTTTAATTTTGCAAGTTCCTTTTTGAACAAATTGATGTAAAACAGTTACAAAAACGGTGGTGCTGCGAGAGCAGCAGCTTCCTTTCTTTAACAAGCAATTTACTCAGGCAGTAAGGGTAGACTCGAAAAACAAACAATCTAATTAACTGAATGCTTGGAGTGACTCTAAAGGTTACCTACTACGGGAGAAGAGATAGCGTATGTTTGAACATTCTTCGATCCTATCATCTGTTTGATCCTGGGTTCGTTGACTTGCGCTTAAGAGTACTGTTTCGAGAATTGCTCTCTGGTTTGAGGCTAAGACCTCCTAATGTATAGAGGCGGGCGAGTCGTATTGCTTTTATAATGTCTGGCTGATCGGGACAGTGGAAAACACTATAGTTCATCCGCTGTTACCTAAATGGTTGCCGGGAAGGATGGTCTGATTCAATGAATATTAAATGGATTTAACCGGAAAATGTAATTATTAAATGCTGGTTATGAAATAAATGAATTGCTATAGACTCCTGCTTCTTCCTTGAAATAAGCCTTCCTTTTGCAAAGAAAAAAATTATCTGGCTGACACAAAGCAGCTTCCTTGTACATATATTGCTAGAAGAATCACGGTGTTTATGTCGATAGACTTGAAATATCGTGTTTAAGATTGTTGTGAATGTTATTCATAATTAAGGAAGACAGTTATACGTTCAACTTTTAATTTTTAAAAGAACATTAGAGAAAAATAAATAGAAATAACATCAATTCGTCAGCTGGTAAAAATCCCAACCAAGTATGAAACCGAAAGCTTAAACTTCCCCGTAGCCTAATCTGCATACATAATCGAACAGGGGATTCCCTTAGTGCCCAGCATGTTTACGTTTACAGCCTTGTGGAAACAATTCATTTAAATCCTTCCTTTAAATGAGAGCACGCTCTTCTTCGATGGGAAAAAATTCCCCTTAAAAAATTTAAACTCATTGTTCTATTTCATGTGCTATTGGATTTAAAACGCGTTTTTTGGTCTGATGAAAGCCTAATAAAAGCTTTCGTGACTGTGAATTTGATCGCGTGACGCTAAAACGATTTTGTAATTCATGAAGGGGAACTTTAGCACGCAACCGCTATAATTATAATTACTCACATGTATCACTGTTTGCAGCTTTAAAATATACCGAATATACCATCTGTTTCTTTCTATACTTACAGATAGATAGCGCCTTCTATAATTATTTACTTCCCACAAATATTGACAAGTGCTGTATATGACAAATATTATGGCCTGGAAATATTTATTTTGCCAGTAGAAAATTTTGTTTCCTCGAAATACCCTGTCTACGCTTGACTATAATAAGGTTACTTACGTATTGTGTAGAATGTCTTCCTTTCAAATTTACCAGCGTTTCGATATCGATTGTGTCTTGGTGTGAAGACGACTGGACCGTATCAACTTCTTGATGACACAAGTTCGCTTAGCTATTCGAGTTTGTCAAATAGCCGGGGAATCTAAACAAACTTCACCGAGGATATATAAATGATACTTTCAAAGAAAATGACGAAGCCGTATACCGGAGATTTCCCTAATGAAGTTGATATTTGATTCACTCTTTTCTATTTTATATTATTAGAATGTTATTTATTTTTCGCTTATGGCAGCGTTTTCATTGTCGAAGGGAAAAGTACTCGTTGCGGACTACTTTGGGAATTATTTTAATTAATCATTCGTTTATTTTCCGTTTGATTTAGGAACGTGCCTATGACATAATCAGCTTGGAGAAACACAAGTCATAGTAACCAAATAGATTTTAGTTGTGTAATACCATTTGCTTTGATTTTTCTTTATTTGAGCAAAGAGTGAAATTTACCGTAGTTGCAGTAATCCGTTGTCAAAAGATCTGGCGTGAGTAAATTCACCAAGACGTTTTGCAGTTTTGCATCCTCCAAATTAAATGTACAATTAATCTATCGTACATGAAACGTCTTTTGCCCTTCCTTCAAACCAAGACAAAAAATTTTGAGTGTCAAGGTTTCACACTTCCGAAACTGGGAAAAAACCCTTTCTTTAGAAACTTTGTTTGTGTCACGGCTTCCCCTAAGACACAATAAGTTTGTTAATAATGCAATATGGCCCTCCAAGATACGGAAAGTGTTTGAACCGGAAGTATAGGTAGCGAATAAGAATGCATGCAGAACATGAAACTGCCAATACATGAGCAGAAGCTTCAACAGAATTCTACATAATACGGATAAACATTCCCGCTATAAGGTGCTGTCACTCCACGAAGTTAAAGAACGAACTACATGGGTAAGTGTTAAGTTGAAATAAAATATCTGCAGTAAAAGAATTAAACAATTAATGAATGAGGCTGACTATCTTGTGCAGAATTATGGAGATTGAGGAAGGTGTTATACGTCGAGGCCGTAGGCCGAGGCGGATAACACCCTCCGAGATCTCCATAATTCTTCATATGATGCTCAGCCTCAGTCAATAATTGTTTTGTTATTCATTCAAAATAATTCCTAGTTTAAAACATAGCTAAAACATGCTTACCTTCATCGATGTTACGTACAGCAGTGCACGTTTAGGTTTGTTCAGCTCCGCAAATATTCTAGCTATCATTTCGCTATCATTTCATTACATCATTAGCTATCATTTCGCCTACTTCTTAATCTTGGGACGAGTGAAATGTTCGCCATTTTTGTTTTCATAACCAAAACAACTCAACCTCGTCCACAGGTCTTCTCGGTTAACGGTGCATTAACCTGCAAGGAATCTGCACTTTTGACGTCATCGGTTGATTAATTAATCGCAAAGTTGTTTCAAATTTGGTCATCTGTAGCTGATTAAGGTGAATTATGCGTGTGCCTTTAACCAGTCAGAATTGGGGAAATATTTTGAATGAGTAATAATCGAGGTTTATGCTCGAAGAATTGCTATCGAAGACTGAGGCATAAGGTTTACAGATGACTCAAGGAAAGGTTTTTTACAGAGTAATTAATCTCAGCGCGTTTGTGTGCGTTTCCGTTTTTCATATTTCATTTTGTCTACGTAATACATAAATTGTACTTTTTTATCTTTTCCGGACTCGAACGCAGTAACAACGAAGGGGCAAAAATTTAAATGTAGGAAATAAATACATAAATAGATTTATAAGTTCATGATTTATAAGTCCCGTTATAGGGACATGTGAAAGAGAAAGCGTTTCTCGGGCGAGCTCAAATACTTATTTTAAGTAAACAACCTCTTCAATTCTGAGCTATTAATTGGCAATTAATAAATAGGGCTGAATAGGATATGAAGAACTAAGCAGATGTCATTTCCTCGTTAAACACAAAATACTTCCAAATTTGGTCAATATTAACTGGTTATGGTGAATTATGCGTGTGCTTTTAGCCAATCAGAATTGGGGCAATATTTTGAATCAATAATAATTTGTTATATATATGTTCTTTTAAATAGGACTGGAGAAAGATGAAGATTATCAAACAGACTGTCCAGATCAGCAAATGCTATCAAATCCTGAGTGGTACCTCACCATCTCAACCTTTTCTGATTGAACACTCCTGTTTAATGACACCCGGAAATGAGTGGGATATGGAGGTCAAATGTCGCCCCATATCGCATGGAGCCCAAGGTGTGTCCAATCAGAGAAACAACTGGAGAAGTCTGATGATGGTTTACCCCGAAGCTAAAGTGCAACTAAAACACAATGACATTGAAGTCACACTGCCATCTCTGCAGGAAGACGTCGAGATCGCTGCGTTTGGAAGACCAGGAAAAGATGACAAGAAAAGAATGCAAATGGCGATCTTTGCTAAACGACCAAGACAAGGAAGAGACTGGAAGATTTGGGTTTATCTTGTAGATGATACAAGTCCAGCCTGTGAGGTATAGGGTACTAATATGATTGTTTATTTTGTTTTGTTTGTTTGTTTGTTTAAAATGTTACCACCATAGTTTCCTTACCACGATTTTATTTCATTTTAATTTTAAAATCATTTTTTCGGTCATGACTTTATTACCTTACCATTGATCAACCCCCTATCTCCCCCTCCCCTCCTGCTCCGCTCTAGACATTAGCCTCTCTTGAGGACGGCGTAGGCGCTAGAGAGCTTTATTACCACCAACCCTTGAAATGCAAAACAATAATGCTAAAAGCACAATTTATTAACACTGACACTGATACGAAAACTGATTTCTACATGTTATTTCTCTTCTTGTATAACCAGAAAATGTTTCAGGATGAAGACGAAAAAGGAAACAAACTACTGACACCACTTGCTGGAATATTTGTGTCTAAAAGCAATGAAGACATCAAAATTGAACTCAGTAAACTGGAGCCTGGATGGAAAATCAGAGGAAGCAATGTAAAGGTATGAATAGGGAACTTGGTTGTTAACAGTCTGGCCTCCTTAATGATATAATATTGATTAAAATCCACCCTACGTTTTATACGCCACAGGTTTGGATTAGTTTAGGGCTGTCAGTCTCTAGAGCGAGAGAACTCGGGTCCGATTCTCAAGACAATACCACTACTTAGGGTTTCTTTGTTGTTGCTGTTGTTGTTTGTTTTTCGAAAGAGGATGCTGCCCTTTCCAAGGCAATAATTTCGTGTAGTTTCGATTTCCACTTACAAAAAGCAAAAAGCCAGTGCCTTAAGTTGTATGTAGCTTTTTGGTAGTATATAGATCAACACTTAACCAAAGCGAGAATTTTATCAGTGAGAAGAATCCTTTACTAGGCTGTGGAGGTCTGGGTTCTAAAGTAATAAAAACTGGGCTTGGCTCAGACCACTCCCTAATCAACTTGTTGCTTATATTTAAGTAATTAATCAATAAACTGATCACACTAAGTCATCCTTTGTTTTTAAGTTTTCGTTGTTGTTGTTTTTGTTTTTGTTTCGTTTTTAATGATTTGCTTTTTAATTTTCTTTTAGACAATAAAATCAACTCATGCATGGAATTCATCAGGAAACGCCGTAGATTTTCCACGTTGCTATTTCGAAATAAGTCACGTGAATAGTGCCAAGCATTCATTCTTCTGTGGAATAGAAACTTCTCACGAAGGAGACAGTGCACAAGCAGAAGTTGTGGCGTATTTTGAACGAGTAAGTGTTGACGGAATAAAATACAGTGGTATTACATTATTAATCTTTCTTTTGTTGCTCTTGGAAAAAGAAAAATACTAATTTATGATCATATTTTAGTCTCCTTAATTGCTGGATTTTTCATCTTTATTTCGTAGGAAAGTGGTCAGAAAATCGTCCAACCCTCTAACAATTCTCGCAAACTGAGTAATACGTGCAACTTTGTTTCAAAAGGTAAGCTTCAATTAGACTGTACAAAAAGCAAAAATAAAAGCAAAATATATGGTCACTTTGAAGCACGATGCAACTCACAGACCAATAGCAACACAAAGGCCTCTGCAAATACGTAGCTCGTTTAACCTGTATAATAAATTTTCATATTGTATTTCTGGGCTTTTTACATTTTTTTTTTTTTTTAATATCACCTTTCTTTTTTTTTTCTCACAGAGTCTAACACCAGGTTTCCATTACTTGAAGTTTTCTTTCTGCTTTGTGCACTTTTTGCTTCGGACTTCAACATCACACATATTACTGGTAAGCTTGCTTTATAAATTTCAGTAAATAAACGATGCCATAAGCGTGTACATTGGCTATTTCGGAGTTGCCTAAGGAACTGGGGTGAGTTTCAAATTCAAACTAATCGCTAAACTGATACCACCATATAAAAGGTCATGTTAAGATTGGTGTTTTGAACAAGTTTGGTGCTCTAAGGTTAAACAGGGATCAAGTTATGACTCTTGAAACATGGTTAAAGATCGATTCTGTGATATACCTAAAAACGGGCAAACATAGTGATTTTCGAATTAGTTCCTTCCACGTAGTAGATGCATGACAAATTTTACAGTTTAAAAGAAAAGCTGAAAAATTTTAAAGAGTTTATATCGTTTGGGGGGATCTTTAACCACATTTCAAGAGTCATAACGTGATCCCTGTTCAATTTTAGAGCACCAAACTTGGTCAAATAACCAATCTCAACATGGCCATTTATGTGGTGGTGTCGGTTTATCGAATAGTTTAAATTTGAAACTCGCCCCAGTTCCCTACGCAACTCCGAAATGGCTAATAGGAATCCCATTAAAGGGCCAAGTAGCAAAGGATACCATTGTATAAATCAAATGTGGGAACGATACGTTTGCTGAAATTGTTTGCAGGTTTTTGGAAAGATTATGACTGTAGTGTAACTAAACCTTTCAAAAACTTGAAAATCGTTTACATGATTAAAATAGAAAAGAATCAAATCTATCTAACTGCAAATACGTTTCCTCTCAATTCACTTACAGGCAAGCCCTATAATCTCACAATTTTTGTTTTCAATTTCAGCAGGATCAAATTCAACTTATCAGCAATTTACGACAAAGAACGATTTTAAAGATTTTACCAATATCAAGCCACCTGACAACTTCCCTTCCATTGGAATGCCTTATTCCGGGGAGCTGGTAAAGCGCGGGCAAGCAGGATCCGCCAGCTGTGGTTCAACTGTCCCCCAAGACCCCGCTCACTGTGCAACTGCAAGAAACCCGAACACCTCGGAACGAGGCTTTGATCTTTCTGTATTAGATCAAAGAGTGAAATCTACCGTGGTTGCAGTAGTCCGTTGTCAAAATATCTGGGGTGAGTAAATTCACCAAGACGCGTTGCAGTTTTGTATCCACGTCAAATTGAAAATACAATTAATCTATCGTGCATGAAAGTCGTTTCTCGCCCTTCCCTCAAACCAAGACAAAAGATTGTGATTTGCAAGGTTTTACCCTTTCGAAACCGGGAAAAAGCCCTTTCTCTAGAAACTTCGTCTGTGTCACGACTTCCCCTAAAACACAGTGACGCTGTTAATAATTACAAGTCCCTCAAGAATCAGTAGTGTTTTAATCAGAAGTAGTTATGCAATAATCTTATATATATAAGAGTGCAAGCAAAGCATGAAACAGCCAATATAAAAGCAGAATCATTTACAAAACTCTAACGGTACTAATAAACATTGCTGCTACAAGGTGATGTCACTCCACGGAGTTACAAAAAAAAACGAACTAAATGCGTAGCTATGAATTTGAAATAAAATATTTGCAAGTATTCCATGTTAATGCTGAAAGAACTACGTTTTAAGACTGATCAGGAAAAAAGTTTACAGAGGCTGAAGAAAAGACAGACGAAAGACATTAATCTAACGGCTTTTGTGAGCATTTTGATCTATATTTTATTTTATCTACATCATTTTTTTTATTATATTGTCTTTTAACTCTGTGTGATTATTCGCATACTATACTTTTGTTATCTTTTTCAAACTCGCACCATGTGACAACAGGCTAGGGCGCCAAAACTTAAGCGAAAAAATTAAACTAAATACATCAATCTATTTTCTTTTTTTTTTTTCTTTCGAGAAGAGTAGGGCGTTATACGTTCATGAAAGAGAGAAAACCTTCCTCAGGCGATAATAAATAAATATTTGAATATTTTTTTAATAATTCCCCTTGCTCAGTTGAGTATTTTCTTTAAAACAACTTCTTCAATTCTGAGCTATTTGTCATTATCTGTTGTTTTAAGCAGGACTAGAAAAAGATGAAGATTATAAAACAAAGGTCCAGATAAGCGGCTGCCATAAAATCAACAGTGGTACCTCACCATCTCAACTTTTTCTGATTGAACACTGCTGTTTGATGACACCCAGAAATAAGTGGGATATGGAGGTAAAATGTAGCCCCATGTCGCATGGGGCCCAAGATGCTTTTAATCAGAGATACAACTGGGGAAGCCTAATGGTGGTTTACCCTGAAGCTAAAGTGCAATTAAAACACAATGACATTGAAGTCACTCTGCCATCGCTGCAGGAGGACGTCGAGATCGCTGCGTTCGGAAGACCAGGAAAAGATGACAAGAAAAGAATGCAAATGGCGATCTTTGCTAAACAACCAAAACAAGGAAGAGACTGGCAGATTTGGGTTTATCTTGTAGATGAAACAAGCCCAGCTTGTGGGGTATAGGGTGCTATTATGATTGCTTATTTTTTTATTGTTTTGTTTGTTGTTTGTTTAAAAAGGTATCATCATCGTTTCTTTACCCTATGATCATGATTTTATTGCCTTAGCGAACCAGCCAGCCATTGATCAACCTCCCGCCCTACCCCCTCCCTCCCCGCTCTAAACATAACCGTCTCTTAAAGACGGCGAAGGCACTAGAGAACTTTATTACAACCAAAATGATAATGCCAAGAGCACAATTTATTAATTTAAGTTGTTAATATACATTGATAGGAAAACTGATTTCTACATGTTATTTAAACAGAAAATGTTTCAGGATGAAGACGAAAGAGGAAACAGACTACTGACACCACTTGCTGGAATATTTGTGTCTAAAAGCAATAAAGACATCACAACTGAACTCAGTAAACTGGAGCCTGGATGGAAAATCAAAGGAAGCAATGTAAAGGTGCGAATAGGGAACTTGGTTGATAACAGCCTGCCCCCTTTAATAGTAATGATTAAAATACACGCGGCGTGTCTATCCGCGACAGGTTTGGCCATGGATAAGTTGGTAGGACTGTCAGAGTCTCTAGAGCGAGAGAACTCGAGCCCGATTCTCAAGACAATACCACTACTTAGGGTTTCTTTCAGTGTTGCTGTTGTTGCTTGTTTTTCGAAAGAGGATGCTGCCCTTTCCAAGACGAGGCTCTCGTTTAGTGTGAATGTTCCAAGTTACATGTAGCTGTTTGGTGAGATATAGATCAACACTTAACCAAAGCGACAATCTCATCAGTGAAAAGAATCCCTACCTTTCTACCGTCTAAACTTCCACAAGCCTCTACTACGCTATAGAGGTCTGGGATCTAAAGTAATAAAAACTGGGCTTGGCTCTGACCACTACCTATTCGTCAGGTTGCCTATATTTAAGTACATAATAAATAAAGTAATCAAGTTCAGTTAATCTTTGTTTTTCTGTTTCTGTTTTTGTTTTTGCTTTTGTTTGTTTTTGTTTCTGTTTTTGCTTTTAATGATTAATCCAATTCTCTTTTTAGACAATCAAATCAACTCATGCGTGGAATTTATCAGGAAACTCCGTAGATTTCCCACCATGCTATTTCGAAATAAGTCACGTGAATAGTACCAAGAATTCATTCTTGTGTGAAGTAGAAGCTTCTTACGAAGGAGACAGCGGACACGCAGAAGTTGTGGCTTATTTTGATCGAGTGAGTATTATTAACAGAAAAAAATACCGTATGTGTTGTATTATATCAGTAATACATTATTAATCTTTCTTCTGTTGCTCTTCGCAGAAGAAAAATATTAATTTATGATCATATTTTAGTCTCCTTAATTGCTGGATTTTTTCGTATTTATTTTGTAGGAAAGTGGTCAGAAAATCATCCAGCCCTCTAACAATTCTCGCAAACTGAGTAATACGTGGAACTTTGTTTCAAAAGGTAAGCTTCAATTAGACTGTACAAAAAACAAAAATAAATAAATAACACGTATGGTCACTTCATTGATGTACGATGCAACTCAGAGACCAGTAGCAAAACATACGTCTCTTCAAAATAAATAGCTCGTTTAACCAGTGTATAATTTTTTCATATTGTATTTCTAGGCTTTATAGGTTTTCTATTTTTTTAATATTACCTCTCAATTTTTCTTTATTTCTTTCTTTCTTTTTTTTTCTCTTAGAGACTAACACCAGGTTTCCATTGCATGACGTTTTCTCTCTGCTTACTGTACTTTTTGCCGCGGACTTCAACATCACACATGTTTCAGGTAGGGTTGCTTAATAAATTTCAGTAAATGAACGATGCCCTAAACGTGTACATAGGAATCCCATTAAAGGGCCAAGTAGTAAAGGATACCATTGTATAAATCAAATGTGTGAACGATACGTTTGCTGACATTGTTTGCATGTTTTTGGAAAGATTTTGACAGTGCTGTGAGTAAACCGTTCAAAAACTTGACAATCGTTGACATGCGTAAAATAAATAAGTATCAAATCTATATAAATGCAAAGACGCTTTCTTTCAATTCACGGCTTACAGGCAAGCACTATAATCTCACAAATTTTGTTTTAAATTTTAACAGGATCAAATTCAACTTATCAGCAATTTATAACAGAGAAGGATTTTGAAGATTTTACCAATATCAAGCCGCCTGACAACTTCCCCGCCATTGGAATGCCTCGTTCCGGGGCGCTGGTAAAGCGCGAGCAAGCAAAATTCGCCAGCTGCGGTTCAACTGTCCCACAAGACCAAGGGCACTGTGCAACTGCAAGAAAGACGAACGCCTCGGAACAAGGCTTTGATCTTTCTGTATTAGAGCAAAGAGTCAAATGTACCGTGGTTGCAGTAGTCCGTTGTCAAAATATCTCGGGTGAGTAAACTCACCAAGACGTGTTGCAGTTTTTTATCCTGGTCAAATTGAAAATACAATTAATCTATCCCGTATGAAACGTCTCTCGCCCTTCCCTCAAATCAAGACAAAAGATTGTGATTTGCAAGGTTTCACCATTTCGAAACTGGAAAAAACCCTTTCTGTAGAAACTTTGTCTTTGTCAGGGCTTCCCCTGAAACACAATAACTTCAAAGTCCCTCAAAATACAGAAGGCCTTTAATCAGAAGTAGTTATGTAATAACCTTGTATAGGTAGCCAATAAGAGCACAAGCAAAGCCTGAAACAGCCAAAATAAAAGCAGAATCATCTAGAAAATTATATGCAGTACTAATAAACATTGCCGCTACAAGGTGATGTCACTCCACGGAATTACAAAAAGAAAAAAAAAAGAACTAAATGCGTAAGTATGAATCTGAAATAAAATCAGACCTACAAGTATTTCCAAGTATTTTTAATGCTGAAAGAATTATGTTCCAAGACTGATCAGATGGCAAAAGGTTTACAAAGAAGTCAAGATCTAAGACCTTTGTGAGCATTTATTTTATATTTCATTTTATCTACATTGTTTTTTTCTTTTCGCTTTTCATTTAATATTTTACCTCTGTGTGATTATACGTATATTATACTAGTCTTTTTTATCTTTTCCGGACTAGCACGTTGTGACAACAAGCTAAGACGCCAAAATTTAAGCGTAAAAAATAAAATAAATAGGTAAATCGATTTTTTTTCTTTTGAGAAGGGTAGCGCGTTATAAGGTCATGCAAAAAAAATAATAATAATAAAAAACGTTTCTTGAGGTGCAAGATATAAATATTTGATTATTTTTTTTTTTTTAATAATTTCCCTCGCTCAGTTGATTATTTCAAGTAAAACGACTTTTTAATTCTGAGATATTTGTGATTATCTATTGTTTAAACAGGACTAGAAAAAGATGAAGATTATAAAACAGACGTCCAGATCAGCAGCTGCTATAAAATCCTGAGTGGTACCTCACCATCTCATCCTATTCTGATTGAACACTCCTTTTTGATGACACCTGGAAATGAGTCGAATATGGAGATAAAATGTCGCCCCATATCGCATGGAGCTCAAGGTGTGTCCAATCAGAGAAGCAACTGGAGAAGCCTGATGGTGGTCTACACCGAAGCTGAAGTGCAATTAAAAAACAATGGCATTGAAGTCACACTTCCTTCTCTGGAGGAGGACGTCGAGATCGCTGCGTTTGGAAGACCAGGAAAAGATGACAAGAAAAGAATGCAAATGGCGATCTTTGCTAAACAACTAAAACAAGGAAGAGACTGGCAGATTTGGGTTTATCTTGTAGATGATACAAGTCCAGCCTGTGAGGTATAGGGTGCTATTATGATTGCGGACTTTTTTCATTGTTTGTTTGTTGTTTGTTTAAAAAGTTACCATCATCATTTCTTTACCCTATGATCATGATTTTATTGCCTTAGCGAGCCAGCCAGCCATTGATCAACCTCCCGTTCAACACCCTTCCTTCCCGCTCTAAACATAACCGTCTCTTGAAGACGGCGAAGGCACTAGAGAGCTTTATTACAACCAACCCTTGTAATGTAAAATGATAATGCCAACAGCACAATTTATTAATTTAAGTTGTTAACATACACTGATAGGAAAACTGATTTCTACATGTTATTTAAACAGAAGATGTTTCTGGATGAAGACGAAAGAGGAAATAAACTACTGACACCACTTGCTGGAATATTTGTGTCTAAAAGTAATAAAGACATCACAATTGAACTCAGTAAACTGGAGCCTGGATGGAAAATCAAAGGAAGCAATGTAAAGGTGCGAACAGGGAACTTAGTTGTTAACAGCCTGCCCCCTTTAATAGTAATGATTAAAATACACGCGGCGTGTCTATCCGCGAAAGGTTTGGCCATGGATAAGTTGGTAGGACTGTCAGAGTCTCTAGAGCGAGAGAACTCGAGCCCGATTCTCAAGACAATACCACTATTTAGGGTTTCTTTGTTGTTGCTGTTGTTGTTTGTTTTTCGAAAGAGGATGCTGCCCTTTCCAAGACGAGGCTCTCGTGTAGTGTGGATGTCCACATACAAAAAAGCGAAAAACCCAGTGTTCCAGGTTACATGTAGCTGTTTGGTGAGATGTAGATCAACACTTAACCAAAGCGACAATCTCATCAGTGAAGAGAATCCCTACCTGTCTACCGTCTAAACTTCCTCAAGCCTCTACTACGCTATAGAGGTCTGGGATCTAAAGTAATAAAAACTGGGCTTGGCTCTGACCACTACCTATCCGTCATGTTGCTTATATTTAAGTGATTAATCAATTAAGTGATAAAGCTAAGTTAAGCTTTGTATTTTTGTTTAGCTTTTGTTGTTGTTGCTGATTTTCGTTTTCTTTTTATGATTTGCACTACTATTTTCTTTTTAGACAATCAAATCAACACATGCATGGAATTCATCAGGAAACTCCGTAGATTTCCCACGTTGCTATTTCGAAATAAGTCACGTGAATAGTACCAAGAATTCATTCTTCTGTGAAATAGAAGCTTCTCACGAAGGAGACAGCGCACACGCAGAAGTTGTGGCTTATTTTGAGCAAGTGAGTGTTAACAGAAAAAAAAAATACCATGGTATTGCACTATTAATCCTTCTTCTGTTGCTCTTCGCAGAAGAAAAATACTAATTTATGGTCATATTTAAGTGTCCTTTCTTACTGGACTTTTTTTGTCTTTATTTTGTAGGAAAGTGGTCAGAGAATTGTCCAACCTTCTAACAATCCTCGCAAACTAAGTGATACGTGGAACTTTGTTTCAAAAGGTAAGCTTCGATTAGACTGTACAAAAAACAAAAATAAATAAATAACACGTATGGTCACTTTGAAGTACCCTCTGAAAAATACATAGCTCGTTTAACCTGTATAATGAATTTTCTAATTGTATTTCTAGGCTTTATCCATTTTTTTTTTAATATTACCTCTCAATTTTTCTTTGTTTCTTTCTTTCTTTCTTTCTTTCTTTCCTTCTTTCCTCTTCTTTTTCTTTTTTTTTCTCAGAGACTAACACCACGTTTCCATTGCATGAAGTTTTCTCTCTGCTTAATGCACTTTTTGCCACGGACTTCAACACCACACATGTTGCAGGTAAGGTTGCTTTATAAATTTCAGTAAATGCCATAAACGTGTATTTAGGAATCCCATTAAAGGGCCACGTAGTAAAGGAAAACTTTCTATATATCAAATGTGGGAACACTGCGTTTTCTGACACTGTTTGCATGTGTTTGGAAAGATAATGACAGGCGTGTAAGTAAACCTTCCAAAAACTCAAAAAAAAATCCAAGCGTAAGGTAAATAAGCATCAAACCTATACAACTGCAGAGACGTTTCCTTTCAATTCACTTACAAGCAAGCCTTATAATCTCACAATTTTTGTTTTAACTTTTAACAGGATCAAATTCAACTTATCAGCAATTTACGACAGAGAAGGATTTTGAAGATTTTACCAATATCAAGGCGCCTGACAACTTCCCCGCCATTGGAATGCCTCGTTCCGGGGCGCTGGTAAAGCTCGGGCAAGCAGGATTCGCCAGCTGCAGTTCAACTGTCCCACAAGACCAAGCGCACTGTGCAACTGCAAGAAAGACGAACGCCTCGGAAATAGGCTTTGATCTTTCTGTATTAGAGCAAAGAGTCAAATCTACCGTGGTTGCAGTAGTCCGTTGTCAAAATATCAGGGGTGAGTAAATTCACCAAGACATGTTGCAGTTTTGTATCCTGGTCAAATTGAAAATAAAAGTAATAGATCCTGTATGAAACGCCTCTCGCCCTTCCCTCAAATCGAGACAAAAGATTGTGATTTGCAAGGTTTCACCATTTCGAAACTGGGAAAAAAACTCTTTCTGTAGAAACTTTGTCTGTGTCAGGGCTTCCCCTAAAACACGATAACTTCAATGTCCCTCAAAATACAGAAGTGCTGTAATCAGAAGTAGTTATGTAATAACCTTGCATAGGTAGCCCATAAGAGTGCAAGGAAAGCCTGAAACAGCCAAAATAAAAGCAGAATCAAAAAGCGAAAATTATATGCAGTACTAATAAACATTGCCGCTACAAGGTGATGTCACTCCACGGAATTAAAAAAAAAAAAGAACTAAATGCGTAAGTATGAATCTGAAATAAAATCAGACCTACAAGTATTTCCATGTTAATGCTGAAAGAATTATGTTCCAAGTCTGGTCAGCTGGCAAAAGGTTTACAAAGGAGTCAAGATCTAACGATCTTTGTGAGCATTTATTTTATATTTCATTTTATCTACATTTTTCTTTCGCTTTTCATCTAATATTTTACCTCTGTGTGATTATACGTATATTATACTAGTCTTTTGTTGTCTTTTCCGGACTAGCACGTTGAGACAACAAGCTAAGACCCCAAAATTTAGGCGTAAAAAATAAAATAAATACGTAAATCGATTTTTTTTTTCTTTTGAGAAGAGTAGCGCGTTGAAAGGTCATGCAAAAAAAGAAAACGTTTCTAGGGGTACAAGATATAAATATTTGATTATTTTTTTTTTTTATAACTTCCCTCGCTCAGTTGATTATTTCAAATAAAACGAATTTTTAATTCTGAGATATTTGTGATTATCTGTTCTTTAAACAGGACTAGAAAAAGATGAAGATTATAAAACAGAAGTCCAGATCAGCGGCTGCTATAAAATCCTGAGTGGTACCTCACAATCTAATCCTATTCTGATTGAACACTCTTGTGTAATGACACCCGGAAATGAGTGGGATATGGAGATAAAATGTCGCCCCATATTGCATGGACCCCAAGGTGTGTCCAATCAGAGAAGCAACTGGAGAAGCCTGATGGTGGTCTACCCCGAAGCTGAAGTGCAATCAAAACACAATGACATTGAAGTCACACTGCCATCTCTGCAGGAGGACGTCGAGATCGCTACGTTCGGAAGATCAGGAAAAGATGCCAAGAAAAGAATGCAAATGGCGATCTTTGCTAAACAACCAAAACAAGGAAGAGACTGGAAGATTTGGGTTTATCTTGTAGATGATACAAGTCCAGCCTGCGAGGTATAGGGTGCTATTATGATTGTTTATTTTGTTTTGTTTGTTTGTTTGTTTGTTTAAAATGTTGCCGACATTAATTCTTTACCATGATTTTATTTTGTTTTTATTATTTTTATTTTTATTTTATTGTTTTATTATTATTATTACCATTTTTTTAATCATGATTTTATTGCCTTAGCAAGCCAGCCACCATTAATCACCCCCACCCCCGCTCTAGATATTAGCCTCTCTTCAGGAAAGCAAACTGCGCTAGAAAGCTTTATTACCACCAACCCTTGAAATGCAAAACGATAATGTCCAATTAAAAGCACAATTTCTTAATTTAAGTTTTTTCCACACACTGATACGAAAACTGATTTCTACATGTTATTTCTCTTTCTCGTGTAAACAGAAAATGTTTCAGGATGAAGACAAAAGAGGAAACAAACTACTGACACCACTTGCTGGGATATTTGTGTCTAAAAGCAATAAAGACATCAAAATTGAACTCAGTAACCTGGAACCTGGATGGAAAATCAGAGGAAGCAATGTAAAGGTGCGAATAGGGAACCTAGCTGTTAACAGTTAGGCCTCCTTAATGATATAGTATTGATTAAAATCCACCTGGCGTTTTATCCGCGACAGATTTGGATAAGTTGGTAGGGCTGTCAGAGTCTCTAGAGCGAGAGAATTCGGGCCCGATTCTTAAGACAATACCACTACTTAGGGTTTCTTTGTTGTTGATGTTGTTGTTTGTTTGTCGAAAAAGGATGCTGCCCTTTCCAAGGCGAGGATTCGGTGTAGTTTGGATGTCACATACAAAAATAACGAAAGACCCAGTGCCCCAAGTTACACGTAGCTGTTTGGTGATGATATAGATCAACACTTAATCAAAGCGAGAATTTCATCAGTGAAAAAAATCGGCCCTTCCTCTCGAAGCTATGGAGGTCTGAGTTCTAAAGTAATGGAAACTTGGCTTGGCTCTGACCACTACCTATTCCTCATGTTGCTTATATTTTAGTGATTAATCAATAATTAAAAAAACAAAAGATTAACTTAGCTTGATCACTTTAATTGCTTTTGTTTTTGTTTGTTTTTAATGATTTGCATTTCAATTTTCTTTTTAGACAATCAAATCAACTCACGCATGGAATTCGTTAGGAAACTCTGTAGATTTTCCACGCTGCTATTTCGAAATAAGTCAGGTGAATAGTACCAAGCATTCATTCTTCTGTGGAATAGATGCTTCTCACGAAGGAGACATCGCACAGGCAGAAGTTGTGGCGTATTTTGAACGAGTAAGTGTTGACAAAAAAAAATACTGCTGTATCACATTATTAATCTCTCTTAATTTATGATCATATTCTTCATATATATTTATTTTTTAGGAAAGTGGTCAGAAAATCGTCGAACCCTCTAACAATTCTCGCAAACTGAGTAATACGTGCAACTTTGTTTCAAAAGGTAAGCTTCGATTAGACCAAAAAATTGTATCATCACTTTGAAGTACGATGCAACTCAGAGACCAGTAGCAAAACGAAGGCCTCTGCTTAATGCATAGCTCCTTTAACCTGCATAATGAATTTCTTTCTTTCTTTCTTTCTTTTTTTTTCTTACAGAAACTAACACCAGGTTTCCATTGCATGAAGTTTTCTTTCTGCTTTGTGCACTTTTTGCTTCGGGCTTCAATACCACACACCTTACAGGTAAGCTTGCTTTATAAATTTCAGTATAAGTTTCGTTTGCAGACATTGTTTGCATGTTTTTGGAAAGATAATGACAGTAGTGTAAGTAAACTTTTCAAAAACTTGAAAATCGTTGACATACGTAAAATAAATAAGCATCAAATCTAGTATATAACTGCAAATAGGTTTCCTTTCATTTTACTTACAGCAAGCACAATGATCTCACAATCTTTGTTTTAAATTTTAACAGGATCAAATTCAACTTATCAGCAATTTACGACAAAGAAGAATTTACAAGATCTTACCAATTCCAAGCCGCCTGACAACTTCCCTTCCACTGGAATGCCTCGTTCCGGGGCGCTGGTAAAGCGCAGGAAAGCAGGATTCGCCAGCTGTGGTTCAACTGTCCAACAAGACCACGTGCACTGCGCAACTTCAAGAAAGCCGAACGCCTCGGAACGAGGAAATACGATACAAATATTCCAAAAACAAAGTTCACAAGAAGTCTACTAGAAGAGTAAACAAGAAACAAGAAAAAAATCCGATCAGAAAAGAAAGAAAGAAAAATAATCCTCATCAATTGAGGCCAATGAAACATAGCTTAAGTATTCATTGTTCAACTAAGCTACACCTTATAGCAACCAAAGTATAAACTGGTTATTCTCACAATTTTGTCACTAAACTACAAGTACCAAAATTCATTCATCGACTCGCTTAGATTTAATTATTTTTTGTTTTTATTTTTTCTGACCGCTTACTATGTTGTTTGTTGTTAAGCGAAATTTAGCTGATACGCTGATGATCTGGCCCTATTGCGTTGATCAACATTCAACATGTTTCGTGGTTAGTTCCAACATTCAATGATTACAAATCAAGTCAAAATTTCCTAATTAGCTAGAGGTAACAATCATTTTGATAACCACACTGAAATGTGTTACTTTTAATTTCAAAACCTTCTATTAATGGCGCCTTTGATGGTAAAGATTGAAAGCACAAAAAATTCAAGTCATACCATAGTCGACAGTGGGCAAATAAAAACCTAAAATTTTAGAGAACAATTGACTTTGTTTTCGTTGTTACCAATATGTACATACCGCAATGCACTCGTTAATACGCAAAGGCACATTTTTGTTCTTGCGTTTGTTTTGTTTTGCTTTTTTCATTGATGACGTCACAGTATCTGATCCCGAGAGGATATCCAGGGCGGAAAAAGGTTCTGCGCAAGCTTCTGCGCATCCCTTATCCGTCGCAGGCTCAAGGCGGGCTTTTCTGTGTGTTGACTGTGTTTGTTTGTTGCTGGAGATTATGAGTGAAGTGCATGAGGTGCGAACGTTTGCTCCCTGTAAAGCACTTTTATTTGACATGTTTGCTTTTTTTTCCTCGCTTGAAAATTACTTTGGATTCAGAACAACCAATGTTAAAGGAAAAACGGATCACTCCGTCAGTCTCCAGTGGAATAAAAGGTTTTGAACATTTTTAAAGAGGCGAGTATATTTTTTGGATTGTGCATCCCGGATTAATATATGAGTTGATTTCGCCGGGTTAAATGAAGACCCGTTTGTATTCTGTTATTAGTAGTTACGGTTACTTTTTTTACACGCCCAGATTTATTACCTTTGCAGAACCAGCTTTATCTTTGTCTTCAGTCAAAGAACCATATTGCTTTTATAACGCATCAGAGTGAACAAACTTGTGCACTTATTTTAACTTTCTCCGAAATAGAAGGCCAGCAAGCTTACTCAGGATCATTTTTCTGTTGCTCAAGTAATAGTAGCCAGAGTTTTTTTCATTTTTTATTACATGGTTTTGTTTTCCAGTGCACTGTGAAAGTTTCTGTTCTTTATAAAAATAACTTTCTGTACGCAAATTGTCTTTTTCAATCGGATAGAGAACGACAACTGCCGGCAGTGACTTCAAAACAATTGACTCTTTGCCCGTAAACAATTGCTGCAGCTGGATTTGACTGAGGCGAGCAAAACAAACCCTTATGTGCAATTTTCTGTATTTTCTAATGATCGCCTGAGTTTAATTTGCTTAAACGAAGACCCTCGCATGGACCAGTTAAGCTTAAAATAGCTAAATGGTTAATCATGACTTGGCTGCCAAGTTGCAACTGATCTTTTGCTTTTAAGATCTTTAGGTAGGTTGTTTTCGCACAGAAAATTCATTTCTTAATTGTCAGCAAGAAGTTTTTGAAATAATGAAACTTTGACTTTGTTTAAAGGAAATCCTATTTAAGCGTAGGTTTTTGACAGATGTTATGCGTGTTCAACTTAACAACACAAAGCAAAATTTATATATCTGGGCGAAACGAGCAAGTTTAAAAAACTATAGTTACTTTGCAACCGTTTTTTGGGAAGATTTTACTAGATAAAGATTGACCTTTTTCCTGCCCACATATCAACGCAATAACTTCTACATTGAGGATTTTCTTTATATTTTAGTGATCTGCGAAACTATGAGTGTCCGATCGAGCGAGGGTTTTAAAATATCAGCTCGAGTGCGACAAAGTTCAGTGACCTCAAACACATTGTGGGCAAGCGTTATTTTTTGGGGGCAAATCACTGTCCAAAGATATGTTGTTTTTGTGTCCACAGTGGAGCTCCGGACCTTATATATCCAGGAACTTTCTTATATGAACACATTTTGTGAATGCATCTTGATAAAAATCGGACCTACGCATGCACATTTCCAGTACAACGCAAGGAAATTAATGTCGTTTAAGTCCGTTTTATTATGAGGTATTCTTCGAGAAAATTAAGTAACGACAAGGTTATAACCACAGCTTGCAACTTTTGAAGACAAATTGCCTGTTCTTTCCAGGTTATGAGTAGAAACATTTTATTTTTGGGCAATAAAATATTTGAAATCCCGCCATTTTTTCAAACCCAGCCAGGGGATCTGGGCAAAAAAGTTCACGCATGCTCATTACGTTTTTCCGCCCTGAAGAGAGGATACAGCACAGGAAACAGCTGTTCGACCAGAAAAATCTGTCACTGAGTTTTTCTATGAATGCGTGTGTTCATCTTACGTTTTTCTAAAACAGTGACTTTTCAGTCAGATTTCAGATAGCATAATCCCCGAAAAGAAGTCACTTTTTTAACCTACAGTACAGCGGCTTTCGATTAAAAACACGTAAAAACACCATATAAAAATAGAATTTGGTACCCGTTTTAAACGAAGTTCTCAAATACCACTACAACAGTTTTAAAAATATATCAAAAATATGTTAAAAATAGTGTTTGGTTTGGTACGAGTCGGCCGCCATGTAAATGTCGAGTAACTCAAAAGCTTAGAAATTCAAGCCTACTATATCACAAAACGAGGAGACCTTTTGAAGTGAAAATTTGTCTGCCTACTAGTTTTTAGTTGCTCCAATACTTCATAAAGGTAAGAACTCAGAAGGATCGATAATAGGGAGTTAAGATACGGAGACTGCGGACTACGAACTACGGCTGGACTAGCGTTGTCTTTTGTTTGTAGCACTGGGTTGAGTCGTGCAAATATAGAACGTTAAGATTGCACTACAGACAGTAGACTACGAGAGAAGAGGCGGAGTGGGAAACAACACGCAAAGATTTTCTTGATTTCATCACAGTTCACTGAAAAATGCAAGTCAGTTTTGAATGTGATCTTATCTTTAGAACAATGAGCAAATTCTTCCATACTTGAAGGAAGCAATTACGTCGGGTGAAATTAGTGAACAAAGTTTTGGTTACACAGGTTCTATTTTTGCGCCCACGAATACTTATGTCAAATATTAAAGAAATAGACAGAAATAGTAATAGCTCATTTATTGGATTTAGAAGATGGACTTCTCCGACTACTGATCTGATGTAGTTTGAAGTATTGAAATGCCGAGTTTCGATTATCTTGAAGATGTTTACATCATTTTCATTCAGCAAATGCGACACAAAAACTCGCATAAACAAAGGTTACACAAGTAAAAAGACACACTAATCAGTTCGAACAAACATTGAAACTTTTCAAGTGCGAAGAGAAAGTAAATTACCTGCATGATTTCTCTTCTCCTCGGCCGTCAATCTGAAATCTGCGTATAAACAGCTAAGCTTATTTAAATATGAGCTTAGCTAGATAAAAATATAGTTACAACAGTGGATTAAAAGCGTGAATCTAAGCAGAAATTGGACAAAACCTACATATTTCGCTACCCTTTCACCTAAAGCAGGTGAATTGAAAACTTTTTTACGAAAAGACGAGATTCTTGAATTACTGAGACGGCAAAATGCGAGCAAAATGTTCTCCGCAGTCGCGACTACGCGAAACAGCTCAACAACTCACCGTAGCCGCAGGACTACGCGGGAAAAATGAACAGTCACGTGGTTTAGATCATGCGCAGTAGCATGTTTAACCGTAGCCGTAGTCCGTAGTCACGGTATCTTAGGGCGCTTTCCATTTACGAAAAAAACCCGGAAATTTCGGTGGTAGCAAAAGTGGAATTTCCGATTGGTAAAAAGTTGTTCCATTTGGTCGTAAACCCCGGTACGTGGCGCGGTGCCCGACCGTGGACCTGGAACTGGCACAAACTACGAGAAACGTAAATGGAACACGACATTCCGTTCGGAAATTCCAACCGGGAAAACGGGACCACCTTTTTAGATTTTCCACTTTTCTGGGAATTTTCCAGTGGGACGAACCGACGAAACGTGTTCCATTTACCGCCGAACCGGAAATTCCGGAAATTTTGACTAAATGGAAAGCGCCCTTAAACTCCCTAATTCCCCTGCTGGATTTCTTGATGACGTCATGAGAAAACTAACTATATTAGAGTAGAAAATGATTGGTTGGATTTTGGCACAGTAGAGGAAACTGGTTCCAGTGAGAGCCGGCAAACATCAAAGTTGAAAAGAACGGTGCTGTATTGTGCTGTAGTTGATGTTGGAAGATCCCTGATCGTGCACAATCTTTTTTTATTCATAAATTGTGTCTGAATAAATTAATGCAATGTTTCTATTGGTCAGTAAGTTCAAAATGATAGGAATGCTATTGAACATTGTGCACGGTCAGGTCCAAAAAAGCTAACAAGAACATAACAAAGGAGTCTTACGGGTTTCATAACCTTTCCAATTTAAAATGTTTTGATAGAATGTAATTCCACTTAAAGGAGAGGGCTTGCATGATTTTTTATGATCATTATTTAAAAATGGCTTCGTGCCCGAAAAAGTTACCGGAACTTCAATGTTAGAATAACTTTTTTTTTTCTTGTCAAAGGATTTCTGTTCCCCCCCTTCAGTGCAAAAGCTTTTCACATACCGATTGGTTCAAGTTTGGATGTATACACGTTTTTGTGGAAATACACCCTTGAAGACCGCCAACGATCGCATTGTAGATGTCTCGTGGATACAATTGCAATTTTGGATCACAAACAGTGCAAACCATTTATTGGGCTTCTATAACCCTGATACCAACAGATATTTTGATGATTCTGGCACATTGAAAATTATATATTTACACAAAAGTTATATATAAACAAGTAAATAAATAAATAAATG